AACTATAGTGTATCTCAGGGGCCTTAGCTGGACCTGGAAGTGAGAAAGAGGCGTTAGGACTGTGTATCTCATCCTGCTTCTTTTAGGGAGCAGGCCCGAGCAAAAAGCATTCGAGCATAGTACTCCAAAGCCCAGCTGGTGATCAGGGCCGGGTTCTGGGCAACTTTCTAGCAGGTACTACAAGGGTTACTACTACTCCTGGCCTCTCTACTTCAACTTACTGAGATCCCCACTGATGCCTTAGGAAACCCAACACCTCGGATCGGTAGTTTGGGCTTTACATGGAGAAACTTCCAGATTTGATTCTTAGCATTTCAGAGCTTGATTGGCATAGCTTCAGCGAGTGTGGCAACTATCACCGCTGCCGCCACCAAACCATCACGAAAATCCCAAATCCTAGACCCTAAAGCCTTAAGCCATAAATCCTAAACCCTGAACTCTAAACCGAAAAGCCCCGAGTCCGTCCCTTGCAGCCTCACGCAGCTTTCTAAGCGTGTCCATCTGGAACTGGACACCCTCGCGGCATCTTTTTGGTTCAGGCTTTGGGGTTACCATGGTTCACCCGCAGCCCAGGTACCATTCCTCATGAGGAAATATATGTATTGAAACCATGTTGGGGAGCCCTGATAAGGTAGGTTCTTGGGGCTACATGTCCTTCCTGGAATTTGGGCGGGTTTGGGGGTTTCGTCTTGTGGGCGTTGCATCAGAAAGGTTTCGGATAGTGCACCTCTGTGGCTTGTGTCAGGCTTGAGATGCTGTGATGAAGTTGCTGGCTCTGGAGCTTACCAAAGCCCCTAAACACCCCAAATCCAAACCCGTCTTATAGACCTTGTTCTTACATCTTGAACCCTCAATCCCTGAAACCCCGGCCCCTTAGTCCCAAATCCTCTAACCTACATACCCTAGTCAGCCCCTACTAGAAAACCACATTCCCCTTCCGAACCCTCTGAAAAAATGAAAAGCCCCAAAACCTCCACAGAACCCTTAACAGAAACACGATGAAGCCCTATCAGACCCCCTTCCGAACCCTGTAAAAAGGCCCGCGAACACTGGTGGAATCCTTATAGAAACCATATCAAGCCCCTTCGGACCCCATTTCCCTTTTGCGGTCCTCATCGATCTGGCCCTGCGTCTCCGTCTCAGCCCCTGCGACAGGCTCCCGGGAGTGTAACTACCAGGCTCTACAATCCGTGGCGAGTTCCTGTTTTGGTTGAACCGATTCCCAGAGGGTCCAAGTACTCCCTATTATAGGACTTTAGGGCCGTTTTAGGTACCCAAAACCATAAATAGGAACTACTTGGACCCTTAGGGATTGTATAGCTAGCGTCCTGTAAGGTAACCCAGATTTGCCTACAGTCTCCATCGTAGTTCCTTTTGTTGAAACAATTTTCTAGGTAAGGTAACGCAAGAAAGGAACAACAATGGAGGCCATAGGTAGGGCTTTAAGATCTCGAGGTTAGGGTGCCATAATAAGGGAGTTTACGCCTTGTGGCGTTTGGGTTGGGGGTACAAGCACGTGGGGTTAAAGAGGTTTAGGTTTCAGGTCAGTCTTGGGGTTCAGGCATAGCACTAGACGGAACTCCTAGATCCATAATCCCTCAACTGCATATATCCGTATAAAGCACCGGTGCAGATCCTTATTCGAAGGAAGAAAGGACGTCGCAAGGAGAGCCATGAGAAGAAGTGACTGTAGTTACAAACAAGTATGCCCGGCTGCAGGTGATTACTTCCAACTCTACTACACAAACCACCCTGAACCCCGAACCCCAAAACCTAAACGAAGCAAACCGAAACCCCTGAGCAGGTTGTCATCTTCCGGCCTTTCTGCACGTAGCCGAAGGAGTGGGTGAGCTGCAGTACGTTGCCCACGTCCATTCCCAGGAGCTGGCCTACCCATGAGCTGCGGGGCTCTTGAAACGGCCTTGGGGGGGCCTCGGGGCTGAGGGCTTCGATTATGAGGGTGGCGGGTGATATCAAGGCTTAGGCTTTCACTGAGAATTCAGCTTAGAAGGTGAGGGCTTAGGCTCTTGAGCCTTGGCAAAGTGTATAGTTAGGGAAGACCAGGACTAGGGTTTCGAGTGATATTATGCTCGAGTCATAAGGGTACTATTATAAGGGATACTACTTGTGATTCCGACCCCTACAGTACCGGAAATTATACTCGAGTTATAAGGGGACTATGATAAGGGATACTACTTGTTATTCCGACTCCTACAATATCCTTACAGCTTGCACCAAGGCCTATAGGAACTCATAGAGAAGCCTAGGTCCGGTACTATGTGCGCACCCTTACGTCGCCTTTAGGAGCATCTACCCAGAGACTCCACCACCCCTGAATTAAGGAACATACCTTGAATCATGCCAAGCTTTCTATTATGGTTTTAAGGTATATTCATTAACTAAGGGGTTTTGGAATCTCTGCGTGAATACAGTAGATAGCCCTCAAGGGACCCAGTCGCCTATTGCCAACAGCATAATCGAGCATGGAAGTTCGCAAGAGTGCCCAGAAAACCCAAGGCCCTCGTTGCTCCCTGTCCATAGGGTTTAGGGTTCTTAAGGTCTATGGGGTGTAGGGCTCTTAAGGTCTATAGGGTTTAGGGTTCTTAAGGTCTATCGGGTTTACGGCTTTAGGGTTTACGGCTTTAGGGAAGTTATAACTTGGGTTAAAAGTCCCCTAATTTGGGCGATACTTATGGCTACCCTATGTATAACTGCACTTATTATAAGTACCCATGAACCTCCAAGTACCCAGTCTAATTGAATCACACAGGGGCCTTCATAATTAGAACAGGTTTTTTGCGGGGTTAATTTCTAAGGCCCCTACAGTACAGAAGTTCCCACAAAGACGCTGTTTTGCGGCCGGCCAGCGCCCTCATCGCGACGTCGGCTTTCGGCTCGTGTCGCCGGAACTACTCTAGGGGCCTTAGTAGTTAAACTAGGGTTTTGGGGGGGCCATTATGCTATAAATATACTCAGGAACCCCTAGAATAGTAGTGGGAATAATTTCGGCCCCTATCTTGCCACTCCGAAGCTTAAAACAGCCTTCTGCTTAGCAGAGGGTCCCGCTTATAGGGACCAGGAGTCTGTGAAGCACTGGAGTTCAGGCCAGAGGTTAAGAGGGCTCAGAGTTTCGGGCCTTGGGTTTGGCGGTGGAAGGGGTTACAAGGTTTAAGGGTTTCGGAGACGTCCCAAGCGCGGAATCACATGTGCAGTTTGTTGAGTTTAAGGCTTGGCATGTATTTAACTATTTTGCAGAGGTCTGGATAAACTGAAGAAGGTTTCAGGGGGAAAACGGAGTACATTATGCTGTCGTCTACAGTTGTATAGTCACTGCAAGCGAACATTTTACCAAATCACCACAGGTCCTGTTATACCTGATTTGTTGACGCCTACAAGCCCTAGAATGAGGGCCATGCTGAGACCCTTCAGGAAAAGACTATTATCAACTATTCAGACTCCGATAATAGCGACGTTGTCTGTACAGTCTCAAACCTCAGAGGAAACCTCCAATGTCGCATGTCGAAGCTTTACTGTCGAAAACACCTTTGGCTGATCTACGGTTCAGGCTTTAAAGGTTTGCGGTTAAGGGGTTTCGCGGATACGAGGTTCGCAATCATCAAGGGATCTGGCTAGCTCTCTAGAATAGGATCCCTTTCAGGGTCCTTTTTATAAGGGTGCCGTACTTTTTTGGGACTTTATACAGGGACCCTCATTTAGAGAACCCATCTGGCCTTTGCAAGAATGGGGCTTCGCCTCCCCCAAGGTCAACCTTGGGACTACCGAATTAGATCTCAAGCCTCGCATGGGTAGCGAAGACAGAGCGAATCGTCGTCACGGCTTTAGAAAATGTGTGTGTGTGTCTATAAATATATATATATATATATATGGATTCGTCTATGTACTTATTTCTATATATGTATACACACATATGCATATATATACATATATGTATATGTATATGTATGTATATTAGGCTGTGTAGATTGTGTTAGACTATAGTATTTCTCGTTCTGGTGTAAGACAAGACAATATGTTATATCGTATGACAACATATTAAACTTCATTATGTTCTGCTATATTACAGTATATCACAGTACTTCAGATATTATGAGATTATGTTGTGTGGTATATTACACCTTACTGTTACAGTATACAGTAATAAAAAGATATCATATGTTTTATACTGTTCCTTTTTATAACATATCATGTCAGATCATACATTATCATATGATGTGAAATGGTGTGAGGTGATATGATAATATCTGTTTTATGGACTAATAGGTCATAACTTATGTGATATGTGTCAAGTATTCGGTATTACATTTCGTAATATATATATATATATATATACACACAACGAGTTTACTGTACGATGTAAACTGTTTATGAAATACTAGATACTATATACATATATATATATATATATATTCTCAAAAGTGAATATGTATATTGTATTTTAAATGATACATACAAGATATTATAGGTATAATACACATACATAAAGTATGTATTATAAACTATACTACTTATGTCTCGATAGATAGAACGATAGATAGTTATACTTGTTCATAAAGGCTCAGGTTTCAGTCTAAGCAGGGCACGGGACTTATACGCTTCATAGGGTTTGGGTCATATGTGTGGTTGTCAAAATTATGATCCCTTTATGGGCCCCTAATATTTAGGGTACCCATAAGGTACCCATAAAGGAAACCTAATTTTGAGAACCACCCATATGGTTGGGGTGTCATCTCGTGCACCAGCTCGAGCGGACCACCGCCTGCTCTTAGAGTAGAGCCTAACTCGCGGTAGCGTTATGGCTGACCAGCTCCTGATTACAAGGGAGCCGCTACAAAAAGTAGGTTATTGCAATCACTAGTTTCGACAACGCAGCCGTGTACGAGAATCTGAGAGAAGCACACCTACTACCATAAAGCCTACCCCAAACCCCTGACCCCCGCTAGACACTGAACCAAGGGTTTAGACACTTGACGAATAGCTCCTCATGCCGATGACGTCGCGGTCACTCGGGGTTGCCTACGACAGCGGCGCCAGGAGCCAGCGATGCTCTTGAGCCTCTCGATGAGCCTGAATCTGGCTAGGGCTTACCTACTTGGAGGTTTATGGGTAGTTATAAGTGGGGTTCTGAGTCCCCTAGTAGAGGTTATAATTGTGGTTACCCTGATTAAAACCCCACATACAACCTCCAAGTAGGGCTTACCTATACATAGTGCCATTGTAGTTCCTTCTTTGGTAACCATTTTTGGAGTTAGGACCCTACACTATATAAACCCACTGTGCCAGAAATCTCTGGAGACCATGGAAGAAGGGTAAGAAGCTGAGCAATATTTTGGATCTACGGTACTGCCGGGTTTAGTTAGGGTCTAATGATACGCATAGGGATGAGAGTATACGATCTGCATCGGCCGTAACATACGAGCCTCAATCAGAGCAGGCTTTTGCTGCACATTCTGGAACAGTTCTATGCAGGACCCCGAGGAATTTTGGTAATTCTGCATAGCTATCTTAGCCGCCAGTTTCCGAAAATAGGGGACCCGAATATATAGTACGCTAAATAGATCTAAATAGTGGATCCATTATTATAAGGCCCCCAAAACAGGGTACCCCAAATTTTCGGAAACTCCCATATTGCTTCTGATTCTGACACAGAGGGAGGGCCCTGAACTCAACGACCAAAAGATGCATGATTCCCAGTGGCGGTTCCACGGCAGGAGAGCTCCCTACGCCCACCTGGGCTGCTGATATGAGGGCATTGGGTTTCGCTTTCGGGTTCAGAGTTCAGGGCTGAGGAGTTAGGGAGGGCTCCGGGTAAACGCATCGCCCAAGGGTCCTGTTCGGCCAGCACAGTCAAATGGAATCGACCACAGCAGCAGCAGCAGCAGCAGCAGCAGCAGCAGCAGCAGCAGCAGCTGCGGTGATGCAAAACACCCTACTTGACCAGTATCCTGAGGAACTAAAGGTTAACCTTTGGTAGTATATTGGGATTATAGCACCACCAAAAGGTTAAAAGATATCTACTCTCTACTACCACTAGGATACTGGTTGGTAGTACTGCGTCTTGTGCTTGTAACTGTTCAAAAGTATTCGCGGGTGGTCGCAGCACCCGCCTTTGTTACAAGATGCACGGTCACGAAGCCTCGGCCCGACAAGCCCTGAAATCCGAAGGGCGCTAACACAGTGGCCATTAACAATTGGTATCGGATTTTCGCGGTATGATATAGTAAGAGTATAGTGCTGGTTCTCTAAATCAGAGCGAATGTCTTCATACTCAGAGAGCCCAAACCCCTGAACTAAGCAACATACTTCAACATACGGGGGGCTGAATATTCTTATTACCTTCATTAACGGGTATTGGGCTTTCTGGGTAATGCATTCGTACTCAGGGGTTTGGGGTAATGGCCCGTGGCCTTAGGAATTGGGCACTAGATCTCGGTATATGACATTGCCGAACACGCCCGATGAATCGCACCCTTCTAGCTTAAACCGTAACAAAGGAACACCGAAACCTTTATGACCACACATTTAGCTCGACTTCATGGCCCCACATTTAACTCTCATGAAAGCCTCGTACTACAACATCTGCCGAAGGCCTGCATGAACCGATTCCTTTTCAAACGTCTGGTCTGAGGCCCTCTGTACTCCAAGCTCTAAGGCCTAAAGCCCTAAACCTGGAAACATCTGAACTCTTATTCACTTGCTTAACCGCTGAACTCCTATACCTCCGACCTCGAGACCTAAAGCCAAAGCCCTTGAAGCCATCCAAAACTAACCCCTGCACTCCTAAACCAGCAACCCCAAGCCCCTTACTTAGACCCTCAAGCCAAAAACATAAAAACCCTAAACGCCACACCCCTAAACCCAAACCAAAAAACTCAAGATCCCTGCAGCCCGAAACAGAACTCAGAGAGTCAAACCTGAGCCGTAAACCAGCGAATTCAGAGAATAAAACCTGGGCCCTAAACCCCTAAACCCTGAGCAGGGCTCAGAGAACAAAATCTGAGCCCTAAACCCCTAAACCCTAAACCCTTTTGAACAGAACTCAGAAACCTCTGCCAAAGGTGCGGAAAGCGCCGCCACACCGATGCTCCAAGCGGCCGCCATAGTTCCCAGAAGCCTTCGAAAGCAGTTTAAGGGCCGCTATGTGGCTTGGGATGTTTGGGGATTAGGATTAAAAAGTTTGGCTTGACTTCGAAGTTTAGGATGGCCCTACTGACGAGAATACCTGTGAACCTACAAAAGCGAGCTAGTGTTCGATGATCTCGAGCTTCCGGTATGTCGGGCTGTGCGCAAAACCTGATACTTGCACTACTATGCAGGAAGAATCAGGAAGTGCAGTCGTACGGGCAAGCAGGCAGAGATTTGAATGCTGCATCGGCACCTTCCCGAACGGGTCTGCACGCTGGCGCTGCCTCGGAACGTTTGACAGAATCGAGTTTTAAGCGGAAGATACTCCGCAACACGTCAACACTGAACCCTGCCTAGAGGCGCGGATCTTGGTAAGTATGGTTATGAGTAGTTTGTTTTTATTTTGGTTATGGGCTCTTAAGTGTAACTATGGTTACATAAAGACAGTACAATCTACGCCCAAACTCCTCTGCATCTCTCAAGGCTTTGGGCTCAAGGCTTTTGGACGGGTCTTGTAGCTGTGGGGTCCTATGAGAGAACCCCGGTTGCTAAAAGGGCTTATAGAGGTACCACAAGGATTCCAAGGGCTGGCAGAACTGCTCAACAGGAATGATGACGATAGCTTTCATGTGTACAGCTTGAGCTTTACCAAAACCCCGAGCCAGCAAAAACACCCGAAATGCTCAACCCAGCCTTTGCAAGGCGATCGCTGCGACCCAGTGAAAAGTTATTCGAAGAGCGCTAGCCTCGTCATCATGAACCCCAAAGCACCCTGGTCATACGCTCAAAATGAATATGAGCTATTATATATAATTTGAATGTCCTGAAACCCGAAGGCTGAACCTGAAACCGTCTGGCCCAGCGTCTCAGCGACATACCGCCCCCGAGCTGTGCAGCTGCGCTCCACCTCATGGGTTAGAGTTTTGAGGTTTCAGGGTTCCGGGGTGTCGGGTTTGGGGTTTGGCCTCGCGTTGAGGGCCTGGGACCACCAAGTGGAGGTTCAGGGGACTTAGTAAGTAAGGTTGTAACTACCCTACTTTGGGGTTATAAGCGATTATAAGTATATGGCTCCTTGATTTGTAACCCTACACTACAGGGGCATTTAATACTTCAATAATTCGAATATGTAAGGTTTTGGGGCCCGTTCTACTGTAATTATACTACGGAGCCCCGCAAACAGTGTTGGTAATTGTTTAGGCCCTTATATTAGTTGCTACGTCCTGAACCTCTAAGTACTAAGCCTATAAGCAGTGGATTCCTCCGTGGACCCGTGCTGCAAGGACTACAAGGTTGACAAGTTGCCTTTAAGCGAACCCTCTAAAGGAACCCCTGCCTTAATTCAAGTTCTTGACGGTTTGGGTTGGTTTCTTCATTTAGCAGGTATTTGTAACCCTTTCTACTACGCTTTAACCTGATATAGAGCCCTTTATTGTAAAGTCCTTCATAGATAGACCCTGAAGTCAAGCCAAGCTGCCAAAAACCCTCTGCAACGGACCAGCCCTCCACCGCTGCCAGGATTGCACCGACCTCAGGCAATGAGAGTAGGGTTTAAGGTGTCGAGTAGTTTCAAGGGCGCTGGCGAGGTTCGTAAGGTTTCTAACGGGGGTTGATGGGGCTAAACCCTAAACCCTAAGCCCTAAGATAGGCTTTCCAGGCGCTCCTATGGTTTCATATAGGGGCTCCTGCGAGGTTTAATGCAGGAACCTGATTAAGAAACCCTGGCCCTATAACTCATGTGTGTATACACATATATATATATATACATAAATATGTACATATATTGCCTGTAGGATCCATATATAGAACTCAAAAAGACCCAAGATTTCTTAATCAGGTCCCGCATCATCAATCCAGTCGAGGTTTTGAGGGGCTGATGAGTGTATCGGAGCTTTCGGGCTTGAACGTTTTGGGGTCCTGAATCTTGAGTTCAGGATGTTTTAAAGTTTTCGGGTTCAAATTAGGGTGAGTTCAGGGCCTCGGGTTTACGGTTTAGGGCGTCGGGGTTAAAGGCTCCTGTGCCTTACGGGTATGGGGAGGGTTGTGCTAACGGAACCCTTGAGTAACCCTTTCACTACCTGAGGTAGGCAGCCGAGTGACCCAAAGGGCCATCAAGCTCACGAAAGCTGGCGTCACGAAGAGCACGGCGGCAGTCAAACCTGGGCAAGTCACTTTTGTTTTTGGGGTTCAGGGTTTTAGGGTTCAAGGCCCGTCCCTTCATGTTCATGGCATATAACGGCTGCGCGACAGTAAGGACAAATCAAGTGGCTATTACTATGATGACACGGTGCTCAGGATACCATCATCTTAAACTTCATAATGCTACCCAGGAAGCTATGCAGACACCGGGATCTCACAAGACAGCTTGTCTTGAATCCCAGGGCAGGGCAACTATGCTCCGAAGACACTCTGTAGCAGAGCTTTCGTAAGGCCGTACCGCACAAAGTAGGTTGAAACCCTAAACCCCCTAAAGGCCCTATAAGCCCGAAACCCCTAAACCCCAAACCCTAATTCCGATAATCCCTAAACTGGGAGTTTCGAGCACCTTATTTTGGAGTCCTAAAATAAGGATCCTACTATTTTGGGTACCATATTAGGGTGCCCTATTTTCGGAAACTCCCAACTAGGTTGAATCCCTGAACCCTGAATCCTAACGATAGTTTCAGGCACATCAGCCCTCCAAACCAATGTAATTCCGTGCCAAGCGACGAAGGAGCGCCCTACGAGTGCCGCCAGTCTCCTTAGAGCGTAATAAAGGGGCTTGCTATACACTTACGATACGATTTCGGGGCATACTACCATAGAACATTGTATTACGGAAAACCAAGAAAAGAATGGCGGTATTCTACCAAGCTCTACTAAGGAACCCTACGCAATAATACCGGCATTAGCCCACGGAGCCTTAAGGAATGGACAGACCTTTAACAACTGGAATTTCTATTCTCGACACGAAATGCGCGGAGAATCTGATTATGTTTTAACTGCCATTGTAAGTACCTTAATTGGGGCTGCAAAGGACTGTAGTTAACTGACTTGTATGTCTACTTACCAAGTCCCCCTGACCCTCCTGATAATTAATCCCACAGCCCTAGACTGCCGATACCCGCTCACTGGATCGAGTCGGACAGGCCAGCTCGGCAGCATGGGTTACATCGCCGCACATTCTTCAATAGTCAGACAATACTTGAGAAGACCAATTGTTGTAGAAAGAAGTATTCAAGTATGATGCTCCAGAACCCAGTGACAAGCAAATTAAGCTCATGTCATCAGTGACTCCTAATACGGCTTCTTTATAACAACCCTGACGATTCACAGAAAGCTCAACCTCCGAGTAATTACCAACGCTCCTTCGAACAGAACTCTTAGCTGCTGAGTCATAATCCGCAAAAGTTATACACTTCTAGTTTTATAGTGGGAAAAGTATTATCCCCAAAAGTGTAAGTAAAGTGTATCCACTCAGCTACTGAACTCAAAAGGCATAGAAACAGAAGACCTTGGTTTTTTGCAGCCGGAGGTGCACAGCCGGCCCTTGTGCCGACTGAACCCCTCATGTTCATGTGTTCTTTTGGGTTCCTTTGTAATCTAGGAACCTGATTAAGACACCTTGGGCCCTTGTTTTGGTTACTTAAATACGAATCCTACTATATTGGGAGTTATAGTGCCGGGGTTTCTTAATCAGGTCCCTACATTAGGGGATCCTGCGTAAGGCCCCTTCTTACGGAAGATCTTCGCTAGTCTTCGGGCTTAGTGGCTTAGTAATTCTTTTTGCAAATCAAGTGGCGCCGGTGTGAGGGCCGAAGCCCAGGTACTTCATCAGCGGGCAGAGGGGTTCGCCTTGAGGGCATTCTCCGGTTGAGGGTTGGGAGGGGTGTTTCTTCGGGGGGCTCAGGGTCTAGGGGTGAGGTGTTAACCTCCCAGGTTTGTGCTGCCTTGACAACAATCTAACCTTGTCTCCAGTATGTTTCAATACGTTCCAGTTCTCACTCGTGCCCTGTGTACTAGACTAGCGGACATATCATGGGCGGTGTGTAAGATTTAATTGCACCTTGGATTGAAATCCTGTTACTTCAACCTTCCATGTACAGGTGTCTGATTTTCTGAAACTCCTATAGAGAACCCTTACGAAGCCGTATACAAGCCCTGAAGAGCTACAATGGCACCCTGATTTCGTCCCAGTCGCTGAGCATGTTCATGCCTGCGCATAGGACCAGAAAGCCGACGGTGCTTGCACAAATCCTGACAGCTTTGGCGTCTGGCAGCAAGACCTGAAATCCCAAACCCTAAACCCGGCCCGAAACCCTGAACCTTAGAAACCCTAAACCCTAAACCCTACAAACCCTAACCCCAAACCCGAAGCTTAAAGATCCCAGGTCCTAAACTCTGAACCCGAGAGCAGGCTGTTACCAGAAAAGCTTAGACCATAATGGTACACTGCTGTCGTGAGACTCTGCGAGTTGTGAAAGTCATGGCTAAAGCGCCTAAACACTGAACCCCAAACCCTAACCCCGAGTCTAATCGAGCTCCGTTCTTTTGCTTACTGCCCCAATAAGCCAGGGGAATAAAAGGTTAAACTTTCTGATTCCTATTAAACTATAAGAACCCAAAAAGTTTAAAGGTTGGGTATTGGGGATCTAAGTTTGGGCAATAGAACCCCCAAACCCTTAACCCTACATGGGCCTAAACTCTAACAAACCCAAACCCTCAACCCTAAATATGGGCCCGAAATTAAAAACTCGAAACCCCCAAAACCGTGAACCCTGAATGGGCCCTAAACTCTAAACCCTAGAATAGGCCCGAAATCTCAAAACACATTTTTGTAAGGGTAAGAGGATCCTAAAAGTTAGCCCCAGAAGGAACCAAATTGCAATGGAGAATGGAGACTATGGTTAATCATGGGTCTATCTCGGTGGATAGTGTTTCGCGGAATTGGACTTTCGGGCTTAGAGACTTCCCCGATCCTGACGCCGGAGACATCGAACCGCATGTCTAAACCCAGCGATCAGAAGTTTTGAAAAAAGGGTAGTTAGCAAATCACAAAAATCTGTCTGCATAGACTCTTGAGGGTTGTATCCCGAATACAGAGAAGATTTCAGGCACGTGCTTGTGTGGTTCATGGTTCGCATGGTCCTCGCATGCGCCATCACACGCTCAATCCAAGCCCGCATGAAGAACCCGAATAAAACCCCTAAACCCCAAAGCCCAGTGTAACCCCACATCTCGAACCCCGAAAATCCAAAATTGTTCCTCAAGCTGGAATTTTCCAAAGTTACCAAGCTGTAGCATTCAACAACTATACCCTACACCCCTCCCCCCCCCCCCCCCCCCCCCGAGGCCTGAACCCCATGCGGATCCCCTACAAACCCTGTACATCATTCATAGATACATGAACGTATGTGTGTGTATATATAGATATGTAAATATGCATATGCACATATATGCCGTACGTATAAACCCGTCACATGACATACCACACAGAATCCTGAATTGACCCACTGCTCATGCCGTCCGCAGCACACGATGAGGTGCTCAACGACGGACTCAGCACGATATGGCAGTACTACGGCAGCACCGCCGCCTGGCAGGGAGCTGCGAGTTTAGGGTCCGAGGTCTCCCCAAGGGTCCAAAGGACCCAATGATTAGGTACTCGGTTTTAGGATAGTAGTTATGTAGGTTGGGATTTTGGAGAGTATGTGATTACTAGGTACTTGGACCCTTGGGGTCTGTGGATCAATCAATCTTGAAGGTCAGAGTTTTAAAAGTACCGTAGATCTTGAAGAACTAGCCAAGCCGTGCGGGGCCAATCGTTTGACAGTTTGAAGGCTTAGTGCCCAGGGTGTGCTGGCTCAGCTTGCCTTGCGATTACTGCGGGAGGCTTTTGTTTCGGTTCGTCTCGGATTAGGGCTTTTGGTTTCGGGTCGAGGGGTTTTGCAGTGACCTTGTCCAAGCCCAGGCTTTGAGATTAAGGCCGGCGCTGATGCTTGCTTCGCTTTTGTCCGCTATCGGGTTGAGGGCTCGTAGCGTAACTTCAATCTTTGAAACCCTTTGTTCGCGCTCTTGGGTTGTGAGGACTTCAACTCGTTTAAAATGTAAGTTTGAGGAAACGGTCATGCGCTAGGTTTTTTGAGTTTTCAGGGTCCGTAGGCTGTTTTGAGCTCACGGCTTTGGCACTCTTGGCAGGTCGTATTCGCAGAGTTTCACAGTTTCGATGATTTGGCTTTGGCACTCAATCACAGAATCCTTCGTGTAGTCTCCCCACAGAGCCCTCATAGAACCCTTATACAATTCCCCATTTTCGACCGTTAGAATACCCTAAGCACGCATAGACCCTTCATATACCGACCTCTTTGATTTTGGGTAATTCCACGGACAACAATCAGCTTATTCAAAACCCAACTTCTGTCGAAGCCCTGAACCTTGTCCTTGTGCACCTCTTTAAGTTAGTTAAGGATCCTATAGTCATAACCCGATAGCGAACCAATAAGCCCGGAGCGAAACTCAGAACCCTTCACGCTGCGAGCACTAAGCTGCAAAAGCCGGTACACCCTAACCCCTACACCCCAAGCCCTTTGACCTAAGAACCCCCATGACAAAAAAAACAGCGAGCCCCTGCGAAAATCTGAAACTTCGAGAATCTCCCAGACCCACCCCACTACCCTCTAATATACCCCAGGTATCCACTATTAAGGGCCATAAGGGCTCCATTAACCCCTAAACCCCTCAACCCTAAACCCCCTAAACCCCTAAACCTTAAACCCCTACACACTAAAACCCTAAATCCCTAAAACCCTTTTAAGGCCCTTGGGGTCCTGGCTCCTACCAAGTCCAAGCTTTAGCAAAGCGACTCACGGCCGGCAAGGCCATCCAGAAGTTCCTCTCGAAGTCGGCACCTGCTTTGGCGAGCTTTGGGGTGGATAATATAGGGGGTTCCTGTGAAGGGATCCTGAAAGGGTTCTATGAGGGATCTATAGTAGGGTTCTACAATTTAGGGGGAGGGGGAAGGGGGGTGTTACAGAGGTTTACAGGGTTTAATAAGCGGCTAATCAGAAGTTGTAGAGCTTCATTCAATTTCTAGTCTTGTGAGGCAGTTTGAAGTTTAAGGTTTCAGTTCCGGCGCACTGGTTCAGTGCTTAAGGCAGCTTAGAAATAATGGTTTTGGGATGTAGCTCCGGGCACGTTACGGTCAGCTTGTAATGCTTTATCCAAACCGTGGCACGGGATGTTTGCTGGTTTTAGCGGCTGGGAGGTGGAAGGAGTGATCGATCTACAGCAACCCTCGACTAGCCCTCAAAATGGGTTCTTGCGAAGGAACTTCATTAATCAGTTTGAATTACCATAAGAAAGACCTATAAACGGTAAGATGGCCTCCTTACGATGGTAGCGTAGATTAGGTTCCTCAACAAGAACCCAGCGGATGCCGGGTCCACGCCTTCTGTGATCAACAGCGCGAGGCTCACCTTTGCAGACCCCAGACGACAATCAAGCCGTTCAGGATTCAGGGCATAGTAGGGTTTAGGTTTTAGGGGATCGGGTTTAGGATCCAAGGCATTCAGGGCTTTCGTGCCGGCATGCAGTCCGAGAAGGAGTGCGGGCCTGCAGGAACATAGAAAGCTTCCGGGAACGCTTAATATACAGGGGCCTGCGTAGTATTTACCAACACCATTTTGAGGTTCCTATTTGCATGTATGTATAAGCAACGATTATCTAATTATACACCCCAAAGCCCTACTCTACGGACCCGAGGCCCCTAAATGAACCCGAGGAGGCCCCAACACGTAAAGTCTAAACCCGGGCTTTTCGGATCGGATCCTCTCCTTCTCTCACGGCCCCGCACGATTTTGCGCAAGGGCCCATAGAACCCGCAATGGGGTTGAGGGGTTTAGGGGTTTAGTTTTCTTTTTTTGAGCTTTAGGGGTTTAGGGTTTAGGGGTTTAGGGGTTTAGGGCTTCGGGCTTAGGGGGCTTACTACATGCATACATACATACGTACATACATACATACCCATCCATAACGGCTAGAGAATAAGACCACCTTAGCCTACCAAAACCTACTTCCAGGTAGTAAGGTTTTGAGCCAGACACAAGAAATGGTAAGTTACGGTAGCTTAATTTTTGGTGTAGAGATCGGAGCCGCTCAGTGCTGAGGCAGCTTAAACCAGCTTGGAGGATCAGGGGGCTTTGCAAGGACGACTACGAGCAAGGTAACTTTAGGAAAGAGGGATTCGGGTAAGTAGTACAGTTGTATTTGCTTGAAGCTCCCTTGAAGGTACCTATAAAGTTACTGACCAAGTCGCCCTGATCCCAAAGGGCCAACACCTTCTTGTGCTCAGCCGCCAAACACACGGCCAGCACTTCAAAAGAAAAAACACTAAACCCTAAATCCTAAACCGAAGCCAAGCCACCAAGCACATAGCCACGACGAGTACCAGGGGAACCACCAGAAGGTCTAAGAGAGCAAAGACGGCCAGAGCGGCAATCGGCCTGGTTGTTCAGTGGTTTAGGGTTGAGGGGTTCAGGGTTTAGGGTTTTGGTTCGTTCCTTTTCAGAGTTTAGGCTGTAGGCTTCAGGTCTAGAGCTAACGGTTGAGGGCTCAACTGGACTTTGAAGGAACCAGGGGGGAAAATGTATCGACGTTTGGTTCATAATGGTTCCTGTCAGGGCCAGGTCCGAAACAAAAAAAATCGAGTATGGTACTCCACTTCTGAGGACCATTGTTCCTGTGGGGTCGCTTCGTCTAGCGAATCGCCGTAGGCTGCACCTCATCATCCCTGCCCCTTCAAGGCTTAGGCTCGTCGCTGTGCTGCTGTCATCAGCTAGGAGACGAGGAGGCGGCCGGATCGGCGCCAGAACTGACGTTGCCATAAGATGACGATGATGGCGACTGCAACCGTGCTGCTTGCGAGCATGGCGGTATTGTTAGTGATGACGACGGTGATGACGGTGATGATGGCCTTCATGATGGTGATGATGATGACGATGATGATGATGTGGCTGTTGATGATGATGATGATGATGATGCCGATGATGATGAGGTTGTTGTTGATGATGATCATGATGGTGCTGATGTAGATGCAGATGCAGCTGCAGGTGATGGTGCTGATGCTGATGATGCCGATGATGCTGCTGCTGACCATGATGCTAATGCTGATGCTGCTGATGATGATAATGATGATGATGGCAATGATGCTAGTGCTGATGCTGCTGCTGAGGACGGTGATGATGACTGTAATCGTCTTGACCATCCCCAGGAAAATTCTTGCTCGCGCGATAACGCGACATTTGCTGATATCTCATCATCAGTCACAGTATTCAGTGTCTTACCGTTCGTAGGACGTGTTCATGCTATCGTGGTTGTTCTTACTATAGCTGAGCCTTTGTGATGCTTAATTTTTCTGTTACCGACATCTTTAGTTGGTAAGCATCAAAACCAGGCCTCCCATCTGCGCCGAAGTTCACCGTGCACAGCTTCTGAAAAATCCTGGGCGAGGCGATGAACCATCTTGGCTTCATGGCTTAGGGTTGTCTTAGGGCTGTATTCTTGCTTACTAAGCCTTGAGCCCTGTTTATAAACCCTAAACACTAAACCCTAAACTAGGGTTTAGAGTTTAGGGCTTCGGCTCAAGCTCATGAATGTGGGGCGAAATAGTTTGAGCTGATCATGTTGAGAGGTAGCCTGCTTTTGCACTACAGTACGTGTAGAATATACTACAGTACGAAAATATGATCAGCTTGATTTTTGCTCAGCTTAATATAGCATGCGTACTATAAGTCACAAAGATTGTGGAACATAGAGTGACAGTCATGTAAAGGACAGAACATGATAAACAACTTATTGGCTACTGTTAAAGATGGTAGTAGAGACAACAGTAGTAGTAATAGTATTAATCGTGATAATAACAACAGATGTATGTACACACAGGGACACACATAAACATGTACACGCTCATAAATGCATCTGTGCATGCATGCACACGATTATATTCTACTATATTCTGCCCTAATAGAACCCTAAACAACTTAGCGGGGCCCTCCATCTGAATTCGGCTTCAAAGCCAAAACTCAACCTCGGTTTGACAGCAACCCCGAAATCCGGACCCGGAACACTCTGCAGCGGTAAACCCGAACCCTGCGCTTCAGGGCCTTGAGGGTCTAAGTCTATGAAACTCGACTTGAAAAAAAAACTATAAAACACTTTTGTGACTACTTCATGAGGTCTTCATGAAGGGATACCATTAGTACTTATTTCGAGCCCCGTATGAAGCCGCAGCTAGGTTTCATCGTGCAAAGCGAGCTGGCCGCAGAAATGATGAGGGTGACGAAACCGACCGCCCAGCACGACACCACCACCAGCACCTGGATCTCTGTTTGAATGATAGGGAGTCTTAGGGGGGTTAGGGGAGGGGGGTAGGGGACTATACTTCCTTAGATAGGCCCTATTGAGTCCTTATTATGGGTGCTAAGATCCCCAACCACCCTAAAGGTTCTGGTGACTGAAGGCTCGGATTTAAGCCTCGTTACTTCAAACAACCTTTTCGGTCGGTGTTTAGGGTCCATGTTTCATGTTTTGGGATTGGAGTTTTAGATTTTATGTTGAGGTTTAAGGGGGTAGAGGGAAACAAACTGTTCATCAGCATCTACAAGCTGGACTTTGAAGCAACCAGGGAGAAGAAAGTGTAGACTTTTATTTCATCATGGTTCCTTTGAAGGACAGGTAATGTAGGAACCTGATTAAGAAACCCTGGGCCTATAATCCCAAATTAGTAGGACCCTAATGAAGGTCCAAGGTTTCTGAATCAGGTTCCTAGATTACTCCATAACCCAGACAAGGGGTTCAGGATTCAGGGCAACTCGAGCACCCCAAGTGGCCCTGCGCCACATCAAACCAAGCGTCCCTCGATAATTACGAGAGAAAGTCCACCTTGGATTTAAGGCATACTCCCTGTAGTCACAAGTAGGTTGGTCAGGGAATGGGTTTGGGAGTGTCTAAACGCGATAAAAGCCGAAATGAGCCCGCGACCAGCTCCGTCAGTGTCTGCGAGGGGATGGGAATTGTCAGAGGAAGACCGCCGCCCAGCTGTGCAGAGATCGCCGCTCTCCTTGGCTCGGGGCTGAGGGACACTATACCCCAAACCCTGGTTTAGGGCATAGCCCTAGGGTTGAGAGGCAGTACTTCAGCTTGTATTCTTATCGATATGGGACTCAGGGGTAGTCGAGTTTCGGCATCAACGGCCCTGTTGGCAACCGTTAGGTTTGAGGTTTGCTGTTCTACGTTGCAGCCCTGAAGAGGTTTGCGTGCCGGTGTCTAAGCTCAGTGTCTCCCTTGTTATTTTAGGGCCTTTGGGCTTGGAGGTTCGGCTTTGTGGTCTAGGACTTACGATGCTTCCGCCACCCCAGATGGTTTGGATGCTTCAGGTACCGACACTCCTGCGCCTACTGACTTGCAGTAGTGTACCGAACTTAACGCCCCTGGATACTTGTACCTTAGAAGCTGCCCCCACCCTGTACTAGTGACCATAAGGACTATATAGGGTTATATTAGGGCCCTATTATATTCCTATTATACCACCATTACAGGGTGGGGGCAGCTTCTAACTTGTACCCGAAATAAACTCTCAGAGCCCCTGGACCCCAAGCACGGTAAAGCCTAAGAACCCCTGCAATCGTGCCGGGCGGCCTTATAGTACGGACCACAAGAAGCACATAAACAACCCATGAGGTCAGAATATCCTACACATGAAATAGGCCTTTCTTTGATGGGCAAGCCAATACAGCAGGGATATTCTTCCTAAAACTTGCTACTTTGCGTTCTTGTTCCTGACTGTAGACACTGTAAACCCAAAAATATCGGAACCCAGCAATGTAAGACAGAAGCCCTCAACCCTAGACACCACCAAAAAAGCTACCAAAACTCAAAAACTTAATTCACATCGAGGCGCCATCCCGGCATGAAGTCCCATCCCTCCAGGTTTTGACGATGTAGGGTTTAGGGGACTTGGTGAAGAAGTTTGTAGAGCTGTCGTGAGGAAGGACTTGGGCTTTAGGTTTGCAGTTTCGTTTCAAGCTTCAGCTTCAGGAATAGAACGGAACTTCCAAAACAAGGCTGTCAGAATGCTCCTCAAACCCCGAACCGGATGGGCTTGAGTTCGGCTGGAGGCACCGTAACGCTGAACCCTAACCTAGACCCGAAGCCCATAAACCCTAAACCCAAGCTCTAAATGCAGACCACCCAGCGTGTAGGGTTTAGTGTTCAGTCGGGTGTTTAGGAGTTAGGGTTTTAAGGGGTTTAGGGTTTAGGGTTTCGGGGCAGGCCATTATCACCTTGGTTTGAGGACTTAGAATCCACGCAACTATCCACATCAACTTCTCCCACTTCTGTCGACACCTAGCTATGCAATGTAGGTGCCTGGGTAAACTGGCCAATTAGCATCTGACCGTCAGGGAACAACGACAAGGGCTTCTGGTGTGAACCCTGATTCCTATACCCGAGGGCCCTAAGTTCTTGTGATGGGCCTTACGGAAATAGTGGTCAGTCTTTGCGAACCCTGCACCATGACTCCTATGCCCCCTATGTGCCTTAATATAATAATGAGACCAGGCTTTTGGTGTATATAGTATAAGTAGATTAAGGAACTCTTACAACTAATGTGGATGAGTATTCATTCTTCTATATTGAATCCTGCGTCAGCATACCCAAGCTCTTACGCCTCGAGCAGCGCGAGCAAACCGCCGAAGACGAAGGAGACGCAGAGCTGAAGAAGAACGACAACCACTACCTCGCGGCAGTTCTGAATAAGTAATAAGTAATTGCAATGTTCTCCTTCCAGTCCCCATATGCTTCTACTACCATTTCTGCCTTATGCACCCAAAGCCCTGTTCTGAATACTGAGGCCTCTACAGCTGAGGGTTTAGGTTTGGGCACTCCAGCGACATGTTGGCAGTATGCGGCAGTACACCATCATGAATATTCCCGGAGAGCCCAATACCCCTGAATGAAGGAGATAACTTCATTCAGCGATTATATGTTTATATGAAGCCCCCTATAATAAAGGCATATTGCTTACTTAAAGGGTATTGGTCTCTCTGGGTACTGCCACTTCGGAGGAGGCGCAAGCACCCCCAGCCGCAACGGCGAGCGGCGCGTCACGACCTGCACATCAGGTATCGGGTTCACGGCATAGGCAAAAAGCTTGAAGATCATGATCTCAGGGCTCAAAGCCCTTACGCCAAGCCCTGAAGCCTAAACCCAAACCATGATGCACAAGACCATTAAAGCCTTATAAAACCCTAGAGACTTTTTTATAAAAACCCGCTGCACAAGACCACCGCTCTAAAAAACCGATAAAGACACTCAGCAAACCCTAAACCCTAAACCCTGACCCCTAAACCCTAAACGCCCATTTCAACCTGTGGCCTTCGGATTTTAGGTTCCGCAATTTTCAACCCTAAAACATCCTTGAGAATCCTAGGATTAGAGAAGGTACTTGGAGGATCATGGGACTTAGTAAGTAGGGTTATAGGTACCTCAATTGGGGTTATAAGTATAGTTACTCTAATTATATCCCTAGTTACTAAGTCCCATGATCCTTCAAGTAGGATTAGAGAAGGTAGGGCGGGGCGGTTGGGGGTAGTTTGGGAAGGATAGGGGGGAAGCCCGGCAAACGCTGAGGCCTAAACTCCACGCCGAAGTCAAGCAGATCCCTAAACCCCAGACTCTAAACCCCTGAACCCTAAATCCCCGACCCCTGAACCAGCTGTCCGGCCGACCCACATCGCAAGAAAAAAACAACTGGTTCTTGTTGGAGTTGCTTCCCTAGATCCTAGAGACAAAGCCTGAATCCCAGACCCGAAACCCCAAACCGGTGCAACCCTCAAGCTCAAGGACCACCCTAAACCCTAAACCCTGAACCCCTAAACCCCAAATCTTGAAGTCCTCGAGCCCCTCGCGGCATCAGCCTCCAAGCACTCCGAGCGCTTCTGATGATCTCATTAGCTCCCAAAATCTCGGAGCCTGAAGCCTCCTACCCGTGTCGAGTTTACCCTAAGGGTCCAAAGGACCCCAAAATAAGGTGATAGTAGTTATGTAGGTTACTGTTTAAGAGAGTATAAGATTATAAGGTACTCGGACCCTAGGGCCCTAGGGTTAGGGATTTGCAAAGCCAGGTAACCGGAAAAAAAACTCTTAAGAGTGGGCAGATAGAGGCTCAAGGCTTCCCCAACCCCTAAACCCTGAACGGAGCCTTCGGAAGTAGTCCCGTGGCGGCCAGTAGCCTGCACAGGAAGGTCTGTTAAAGCCTTTCGGGTGAGCGGTCCGGACCCCGGAACCACCAAAAAAGCGGATATCGGGGGCATGAATAACTTGAATAGAAGGCTTTGATAACTTTAACATGGGCTTTCATAACTCTGATAACTAGATTGAGGGGTTTGTGGCATATTATAGTACACTATACCAGGAACTATAAGGGGACACGCTTCCAAATACTCCGAGCTCTGTACCGGGATCCTGATCTCAGAACCCAGAAGAAACCCGAAGACTCCCCCCACTTTACGCTACACCCTAAACCCCTAAACACCTAAACCCCTAAAGCCTAAACCCTCAACCCTAAACCAGGAACCCTCAACCCCTAAATCCTAAAATCATGAAGCCTGCCCTGGCTGAAGCTTAGGAGCCCCGACATTCAACAACAGGCCATTTATGGCAAGTCTCGACGCACTCGTGATTTAGGGCTTCGGTTTGTCGAGGTTTTCTGCTTAGGTCCTGCCGGGCCGAAAATATGTAAAATAGGCGTCTCAAGGATATACTGTACTTTATAACATGGTTGCGAAACCCTCAACCCCACACCCTAAACGAGCAAACCCTAAACCCCTAAGCCCTAAACCTCTAAGCCCTGGCAAACTGCTTCGGCAACTTGGCTTCTGCGCGAAGACTAAAAGTCCTAAGCTTTTGAATTAAAAAAGACCACATATTGCAGGCATAATTACCGGTTTGGGTTTCAGGGATCTAGGCTTAAGCGGTTTAGGGATGCAGTGGTTTAGGGTTTAGGATTTACTTAGGAGTTAAAGCGGAGGCCTGTGACCCCACAAGTCACTAGCTGCTCGAAAGAAGGACAAACCCAGACTTACCCCCCAAATAAGCCAGGGGAATAAAGGGTTAACCCTTCTGATTCCAAAAAAACTACAAGAACCCAAAAAGTTTAAAGGTTGGGTATTGGGGATCTAAATAAGTCCTGAACCCTATAGAGCCCTTATAGAACCCTTGAAGGAACTCTACAGGAACCCTTACAAGGAAGCAGACCAAACCCAGAAGTCGGGCGCGCCTGTCGGGGACCAGAGCGCTGAGCACCGCGATAGCCAGGCCTGACTTCGTTTCTGAGACGGCTGCTGCTTCAAGGATCATGGGACTTAGGAACTAGGGTTCCTTAAAGGGCTCCTTTAAAGGGATCTATAGGGGTTCTCTTATAAGAGGGGTGTTAGGGTCTACTTGAAGGATCATGGGACTTAGGAACTAGGGTTCCTTAAAGGGCTCCTTTAAAGGGATCTATAGGGGTTCTATTATAAGAGGGGTGTTAGGGTCTACTTGAAGGATCATGGGACTTAGGAACTAGGGTTCCTTAAAGGGCTCCTTTAAAGGGATCTATAGGGGTTCTATTATAAGAGGGGTGTTAGGGTCTACTTGAAGGATCATGGGACTTAGGAACTAGGGTTCCTTAAAGGGCTCCTTTAAAGGGATCTATAGGGGTTCTATTATAAGAGGGGTGTTAGGGTCTACTTGAAGGATCATGGGACTTAGGAACTAGGGTTCCTTAAAGGGCTCCTTTAAAGGGACCTATAGGGGTTCTATTATAGGGACTACTTGACAGATCATGGGACTTAGTAAATTGGGGTTATAATTAGGGTAACTATACTTGTAACCCCAATTAAAGGTATTTATAACCTTACTTACTAAGTCCCATGAACCTCCAAGTAGGTTTGCAGCCACGACAGCCAAGACGACGACCGTGGCAACAACGAGGGCAAAACAGAGTAATACTAACAAGAACCACAGCAATAACACAAACCGCCAACACAGCAACTACGACGGGGCCACTACCAAGTCCAAACTCTTCGAAAACCTAAACAGCCACTGCCGTCCACATACATGTAAGTAGAGCTTTGTTTCGGGGTACAGCGGATTGTCCAAGAGCAAAGGGTTGTTCACAGTGCTTCTTTTGCCAGGTCCCAACAAACCGAGACACCCTCACCCTCAGTGCAACCCAATGTCCGAACTATTCCAAGAATGAAGGATCCTGACTATGATAGAGTGGCCCTAAACCCAAAACCCCTAAACCCCAAACCCTAAACCCTAGACCTTAGACCCTAAACCCTAAACCCCAAACCCTAAACCCTGGACCCCAAACCCTAAACCCTAAAATGGGGTTTTGGGGGACCGCGGGGCTACGAGGAAATTACTTCCACCAGGGCCGAAGCGCCGAAGAGAACCACGCCAAAGCAGCCGAGTAGGGCGGCCACCATCCTGACAAACTGGGTTCTTGTTAAGGTATTTAATTTAGTTACCATAATTCTTTTAAGGGGTCTATAAGGGTTCCTATAAGGGTTCTACAAGGGTTTAGGGGTTAAGGAGGGATCTATAGTAAACAATATGGTTTCCTTATTCTGGTAACTTAAATTGAATCCTTTGGCAAGAAACAAGTAAAGCTTCTTGGGCTTCCTGTAGGGGTCCTATCAGGCTCTTTCAGGGTTACTAGTACGGGTTGCAACTGGTCCGATCAGGGTTTTAAAGGGGCTCTATCTGGATTGCTATTAAACGTTCTGCGATGGTCCCCTAAACCTTACTCCCCAATAAGCCAGGGGAATAAAAGGTTAAACTTTCTGATTCCTCTTAAACTATAAGAACCCAAGAAGTTTAAAGGTTGGGTATTGGGGATCTAAGAAACAGTCTATGGAGGTTCTGCAAGCGCTACTCTGAAATGGTGCAAAACGATCGCGCGTGCACTTCCGTACAGCGACGAAGATACATGCTACAAAATGCCAGATCGACACAACATCGGAACGCAAGGGTACGGGAGTAACCAATGCAACTATCTCTCAAAAGGGATATGTCGGATATGTCCCTAAAGCTTGGTACAGGTACCCTTCTCAAAGGGGAAAAGGAGGGACCCTTAATGGGGACCCCTACCCTATAATGGGCTATATAATGGGTATATAATAGCTATATTAAGGGTATAATTATACTTAGGGCTCCTTATTAAGGGTCCCTCCTTTTACCCTTGGACCTTCTTTCTCTCGGTAGGGTCCTGTTGAAGTGGGACTGTGGCGTGAGCGCGTGCCCTTGGATCTGGATGGCTCCGCCCGTCACACCGGCGCACCTGCAAAGGTGCAACGCGGATTGAGGGTCTAGGGCTAGGGTCTGGGGTTTAGAGGTTTAGGGTTTAGGGTTTAGGGGTTAGGGTTTATAACGGTTTAGGGTTTAGGGGTTTAGGGGTTTAGGGGTTTAGGGTTTAGGGGTTTAGTGTTCAAGGTAATTAATATAGCCCTAACTAGCTTACCTACTCAGCGAGCCCAATACCCCTTGATCGAGGAATATACATTAAACTGTAGGGGTTGAGCTTTATAATCGAAGGTGGTGTTTCGGGGTATGTTATGCGAAACTTGTGTTCCGGAACCTTGCAGAAGGGTATTGGTATGAGGAATATTGGGGGGTCTATCTGCAGCATTCATCCGTCTTCGTGTGTTGGATCCTCAATCTTACCTACCTTAATCCTACATTGTCAGGTCCCTGGACAACTTGGGGCCCCGCATGAAACCGAAGGCGTCGTGCACCGTCCAGCCCTCTGCCGGCGCCAAGCCCAAAGCAAAGGTGCCGGTGATGCAGATGAACATCGCAGGAAGCGTCAGGAAGACAAACACCGACCTCGAAACTAAACGCTTCGTCGGGCCTAGGACCCTACACACTAGCCTTAAACCCTAAACCTTAAAGGGGCCCCCACCCTGTAATAGTGGTATCATAGGAAAATAATAGGGCCCTAGTATAGTCCCTATAATCACTATTACACGGTGGGGGCAGCTTCTAACCTAAACCCTAAAGCCTGAACCCTGAGTTCCAAGCCCCGAACCAAACTAAAAGGCAGTGATGGTCTCTCGCAGGGTCGGTCGGAGTTTCGGGGGAATGCAGGACTCATGTACGGCACCATGTACTTAAAGGGCTCTTTTCGGGTTTCCTTTAAGAGTTCCTTCGAGGCTTCTACAAGGGATCGATAGGATTTATAGTTCAACACTCCATGTACCTATGACAAGTAAATATAAAGGTACCCAATGGGCCAAAGCGATAATTGGAGGTTCATGGGTAGTTATAAGTGGGGCTATCAGTCCCCTGATATGGGCTAGAATTAGGGCTACTCATACCCCCATGTGTAGCTACCCGTGAACCTCCAAGTACCGTTTGGGAAAAACGAGCCTGAGGACTTGCGTAAGGCCCAGGTGCACATCCAACGCACAGTGGAAGAACACGATGCGAAGAGGCTCCTTGCCGAAGGCAGCTCTCGACTCTAAACTCCATACCTTCAACTTCAACTCCTAACTCCTATTTCCCAAACTTATGTCCCAAACCTGCCACAAGCCTTCTGTTTAGAATATGCTAAACCCTAAAGCCTTGTGTTTAGAAGTTCGGAGGCTCAGCGGGGTCAGCGACCCAAGATCCTAAACTCACTACACACTTACAGGACTTCTAGACCCAAGAGTAACCTAGGAATAAGAAGGGTGCCCTTTTTGGTTTAAAGGGGCTTATAAGGGAACCTGAACCCTAAAAAAGGGAATAAGGGCCTACTCCAGGTCCTAGACTTACATTGTGTTCAAAACTGTGCTCTCGACCGTGGGGGTGAAACTCCCAGTGCCACTCATGCCCGATGCCCAGGCACGAACAAGTCTTAAAAGAAACCAGCCAAACGCAACCTGCACAAAACAGCCCTTCCTAAACCGTAAAACGTAAGCCCTAAGCCCCTTATGAAAGCCCTAATCGGGGCCTTCACTTTCGAAGCCCCATGATCTGCTAAACCCTAGAAACCCTAAGCCCTAAACCCCCTAAACCCTAGGCCCTGAACACTCCAAGTCTGGCGCCTCGTCGCCATGATCCGAAGTTTTGTCAATATCCTCGAGGTCGCGGCTCGCCATGGCCATGCGGCCGCGGCAGCTTTGGGGGCTCTAGGGTTTTCTTTGGGGGGGTCGTAAGGGTTAGGGGTTTAAGTTTAAGGCTTTTAGGGTTTAGGGCTTTTAGAGTTTTAGGGTTTGTGGGATTAGGGTTAGGGGTTTGGGGTTTCTAGGGCTTTCAGGGCTGTTAGAGTTTCGGGTTTAGGGGCTTTGGGGGAGTCCTGGGTCCTATCTAGAGCACCCAAGGTACCTGTAAAAAAGGTAGATGTACTCATATTTTGTAGAGTCATCGTATATTTTAAGGGTTTATTGGTTAATCTAGGTGAGGGTGCAGGTAGTGATGTCCAGGCTTCCGAGATCCGGTCGAGGAACCGGTTTAGGTTTCAGGTTTCGGGGTTTTGGGGTTTGGGGATCGGGGTTCAGGGGTTTAGGGCTTAGGGGTTTAGGGCTTTGGCTCTATCCTGCAATGGTCGTGGGGGGCGTTCGAAGTCGAAAGCTCGGCGGTGGATACACGGGCCTCATCAACGCGCTCCAAAGGAGGGATGAAGGTAGGTGGGGTAGCCCCAAATAAATAATAAAGCATATATACAGGTTTTCGCCTTTCACCCAATCCTTCTTAAGGGATCCTTAACCCCACCTACCTTCATCCGTAGGTGGGGCAGTCCCAAGTATGATTCCTTAATACAGGCATCTTTAAGCCGACTTACCTGCATCCCACCTTCTGAGGCCTTCGACCTCATCCCATCCTCCTACGTCAGTCGCCCGCTGCTCAAGATGTCGGAGTTGGGGCAGAGTTTGAGGATTTAGAGGTTTAGGGTTCCTTCAAGGGTACTATAGGGTTCTATAAGGGCTCCTTTAAGGGGGGCTTAGGGTTTAGGGGTTTTGGGGTTTTGGGTTTAGGGTTTAGGGGTTCAGGGTTCCGGGTTCTGGGTTCATGGCGTAAGCTTGGGGGCTCAAGGTATGTAGGCTTGAGGGATGAGACTACACTCCTACACCTACTACACGGGCCCTGCACCCCAACTTATGTGTCTGGTTGGATGCTGATATGTGCAACGGCTTTGGATGCCTAACTTTCGAGAGAGCAAGGCACAACACACTCGCACCCCCTTTGTGTATGAAAAGCTCAACCTTACATCCGAAACCCGAAAGTTTTACTGAGTTAAGGTAAGTCGAACGGGGTGTACGAGCAGAGAAAGGTGAACGAGCATCGTCAGGCTTCAGGAAATTTGCGTGTAGGGTTCAGTTTAATGCTTCTGCAGTTTAGATTTGGGGCGAACAGCCCTTAACGCCTTACGCGGAATCCTGAACCAGCTTATCACGAAAGCTGCAAGCCTGTCACGGGCTGCGGCGCATGCTGCCTGCGGCACAAAGTCTTTCATGGGACTGCACGGGCTTTCGGGTCCCGGGAGGAACTTCAATCCCAAACCAAAGGTTTTCTACGGCCATTGGGGGCGTGTCCTCCAAGACCAGCAACTTTGGGACAACGACAAAACCTTACACCTTAAAACCCTAAACCCTAAAACTCTAAACCCTAAACACTAAGACTAAGCCCTAATTTAGACCTTCAAACCAAAACCCTTGAACCCTAAACAATGAAGCCCTAAACTTCCTGAACCCTCAAACCCTAAACCCTGATCTACTAAACCCGCGGCTTCTGCAGACTTTGCCATCAGCCGCCTCTGCTCAGCTAGCCGGAACAACTAGGATTTAGGGATTAGGGCTGGTAGTGAGGACTTTAGACTTTAGAGTTTAGGGCATAAGGCAATGAGGGTTTAGGGCTTAGGGTAACTAGGGTTTGGGGCTTGTAGTAAGGGTTTAAGGTTTAGGGTTAAACTGTACATCCGCCAATGTAGGAACCTTCACACTTCGATGACTGAGGGTATACTGTACCATTACGTATCTTTTCAGGACCACGGCTGATGGTATAAATCCTGCATTACCTTAATGACCCCAGAATTTGAGAATTATGTTATATTCCTTATTATAAGTAATGCAGGATTTCGATCATCAACCATAGTATTCTAACTATGACGGGATACTGTTAACACTTCTTCAATGAGCCAGACCTCTACACGACCAGTGTTGCTCAACCCAAACAACTGCCTCAGCACATGTCTCCGCAGAAAACGCGAAGCCCAAAGCCTCCGTTCTCCCAAAGCCACCAATCCAAGGGTAAAAGGAGGGACCCTTAAGAAGGACCCCTAGGTATGTATATATATATATATATATATATATATATACCCTTCATCTAGCTATTATATAGCCCATTATAGGCTAGGGGTCCCCTTTAAGGGTCCCTCCTTTTCCCCTTTGAACCAACCCTGCAGCACATCATACACCGGTTTGGAGTTGGGCTTTAAGGGTTTAGGGTGCTTCATAAGCAAGGTAGGCAGAAGGTCGATCCTGAAAACACCATCCATCAACGATCACGCCCACATACCTGATGTGCGTCCATAAACTCATCTGAAACCTGAGGGGTTTTGGGGGTTCCCCAACTGCAAACACCATGCAGACCGAAACCCCAGAGTCAGCAACAAAAATCTGAAGCCAAAAGCCCCAAACCCAAAAGCTACGGTTGATGACATAAATCCTGCATGACCTTAAGGACCCTAGACTATGGGAATTACGGGTATATTCCTTATTATGGGTACTGCAGGATTTATACCATCAGCCGTATCAACTCCGAAGCCAGCTCTCACAATGAGCCAGCGGAACTCCCAGCGGAACCCCCGCGCTCTTTCCGCCCGCCTGCAGTGCTTCATGATCTGGAGGAAGACGAGCGCATCCATCTCTACCTCGGCTGAGAGGATCAGGGGAGAGTCAGGGATAAAGTAGTCTTACAAGGCAGGGTTAGGTAAGGGTTTTGGGGTTTGGGGTATGGTTGCAATCACAAACGAGGCAAGCATAGGCATGTGTAGGTAGATGCCTGTGCGAACCTTATATCCCGACGTCCTTAAGCTTCACGTCCTCTCCAAAAGCCCCACATATGGATGTTGAAGGTTCTGAAGGGCACTCGCTGCGGCGAACAACGTGGTGTAAGCGTTTAGGGTTTAAAATTGATGGGTTTAGGGTGTTGTGGCCGAGGCCTTGGCTAGAAGGCCGGAATTCCTGCTGTGTCGAGACGACGCCGGCAGTGCAGCAGCAGTCGAAAGGTGTATCATTGGTCCAATGGTGCGAAACCATCCACAGAACAGCCGTACACAATCACTCTAACACAAAAGCTAACAACGTTTACTTCCGTAATTATATGTACATATGTTTGAAAGCTTTTATATGCGTAGTCAAATAAACTGTTTTTAAATTGAGTATCCCCAAAGCATGTGTAAATTTTCGGATATCCCCAGTTTTGCGCCGCAACCTCTGAGGAATAAAGAATCAAGGATCCCCTAAAACTCAAACCTTGAACTCTAAACCCCGAACCTCGTGCCCAAACCTTAAACGCTCAACCATAATAATAAACCCCTTGCAGAACCCTTTACGGAACACTTTTGGGAACCGCTTGAGGAACCCTTCTAGGAACCCATACTGACACATGAAAAGAAACCTTGCACGAACTCTTATTCAAAGCAAGCCTGTAAGGGACCCTTGAAAGAACCCCTAAACCCTAAATCCCTAAACCCGCACGCCCTTAAACCCTAAGCCCCTAGAACCTAAACTCTGAACCCCTAAACCGTAAACCCTAAACCGTGGAACTCTGATAGGAAGCCTAAAGAACCCTTAAAGGAATCAATAAGGGATCCTTGAAAGAACCCCTGAAAGGAACCCTTAAAGGAATCCGAGCCCGAGCCCCGGACGCTCTGCAGCTCCCCGTCGCTGTGATCGGCATCTGCACAGAAGCTTACCGGTAAGAAAGAAGGGGTTAAGGGGTCCAAAAGGGTTCTATAGGGGTTCTACAGGGGTTCTATAAGGGATACATAAGGGTTCTATTAGGGTTTGCATGGTTGTAAGGTTTTCAGGGCTCTTAGTGGGTTTGGGGTTGAGTTAGGGTCTGGGGTTTAGTTTTGAGGGTTTAAGATTTACAGGCGATAGAGACAGGATTAATAGGGTTCCTTCACGGGTTCTATAGGGGTTGCCGTGATAAAGGCTATGACGGCCTTAATCTAGGGGCGAGTATTGTAATTAGAACAGGTTCCTTACCCTAAGGGTCCAAGTACCTAATAATCATATACTCTCCCAAATACTAACCTACATAACTACCATCCTAAAACTGAATACCTAATTATTGGGTGCTTTGGACCCTTAGGGCTAGCAGTGTCTTATGATCCTTTACAGAGGTTCTACCGGGTTCACGACTGGTGTGGCGCTGGGGTCTAATATGGACGGCCTTAACACATGGAGGTCTCGAGGTATCCTTTAATTAATACCAGTACATACAGGGGTGACGGAATGGAATGTTGCTACCAATGATTGTGACCTCTATGTTAGGGTATGGGTTCGAGGTTCCGTTTGTCGCACTTGAGCTTTGAGAGCTGCTTGTCATCAAAGCTTCCTTGGGTCCCCTGCGAGAAACGGAATGATGCATCAAAGCTTGGCAGCACACGAAACCAGGTAGAACCCTCTCAAACTCAAGAAACCTCCACGTAGCTTAGAGAACCCCGTGAACCCGAAATCGGAAAATGAGCCTCTCTTCTCAGGGTTGGGTGTAAGGGCTCGATTGCCACTAAACATGATATTCAAAACCAACGCCCGCATTCCTAATTCCTCGATGCTCCAAGTCATGCTGCCCAAGCTCCTCAACCCTGAGCCCCATCTTAGCCGGCCCGAACCTACTGCTTTGTAAAGCCATGTACGGGCCGACAAGGACCCGGCAAAGCAACACACCTACGAGACCCTCAATCCCAAACCGCGAACCATGCTGCATGCAGGCCCCAAGACCGCGAACTCCAGGACACGCGAACCGTAAACCCTAAACCTCTAAAGTCAGGCCCAAGAGGCTGTAGCCGCTTTCCAGCGAGTGTCGGTACTGGTGGATCTTTTCCTCGGCGCCTGCGAACGGCCGAGCAAGCGTGGATGCATGTACGTATGTCTGTCTGTCTGTATGGATGAATGAATGCATGCATGCATGTTGTATGTTGTATGTATGTATGCCTGCCTGCATGCATGCATGTGTGTAATATAACATAAACACGAACAACGTAGATAAACACATACGTCGTTCAAAGACATTCGAATATGTATGGTATATACTGGTAGATGCGAGCATAGTTGGATGCTTTGAAGGAAACTGTAGGGGCTCAACTGCTGTCAATCTGCTTCGTGAAAGAGTCCTCAGAAGCCTGCATCACTTGTTGGCGCAGGCACGTACACCTTGTAACTCGCACGGAGGACACTTATGACCCTGCCTGCAAATACCGAAAAGCCCCGCCCCCCAGCGACGTTCAAAGGGCTTTACGGTTTAGATTTCCGGATGACCCGATGCTTATGTCCTAACACTTGAAATCGAGGTCTGCACTCCTCCAGGAAAGAAAGACTACACCCACAACCTCAGGGACAAAGGCACCGCCCACACAGACACAGACACACACACACACACAGAGACACACACTCACAACATTCATGCATACAAATATACATATACATATGTATGATTATATGCCCATTCAGATAGATAGATGGGTGGTAGATAGATATATATAGATAGTAGATAGGTAAATAGGTAGATAGAAAGACGCACACACAGGGACGGACGTGAGCAAATGATAACTGATGCCCGTGCCCAGCACTGTAGCTCCAGGCCCTGTCGAAAGCTCCTTTTGGCAAGCTTGCAAAAAGCCCTGATAATCAATAAAGCACTGTAATCTATGGGCCTGAATACTTCGAAAAGGGTTTTGCTGTAATTTTATGGTCCTCCCCCCCAAACAAAAAAACAAAAAAGTGTTTGCAACTATTTATGCCCCCGTATTACCCCGCCTGCGTCGTCGCGCCGCTTCCCCCAGCCCTTGCCCTTCCCTTCCCCGGACATTTCGCGAGGCAAAACTGGGACGTCTATTGGGCAACGCTACGGTCTGAGCCTTGAAACAGGAGCGGCGCCGGCGCAAGCACTGAGGTGTACAAGCTTGGGGTTTGGTGTTTAGGATGTAGGGCTGAGGTTGGTGAAAGGGACTTAGGGTTTGGGATACCATCAAGAGAGTATGCTGCTTGTGGCCGTTGTTGGAAGCCCGCAAATTCACAGCCCCAAAACCTCTAATCCCAAATCTCGAACCCTCAACCTCTAAATACCAACTACTAAACCCATGATCCTGGAGCATACAATCCGAGGATCCCCCCATAGCCCCTTAATAATGCACAAAGGTATGCTTGCTCCTACGGTGCGGTGTTGTTTAATCAGGAGACCCCAAAATACGAAGGGCAACATGGTACTAAGCTCCAGCAGTATGGGTGGCAAAGGATCCCACGATTCAAGGCCCAACAACAGGGCTCCACTGTAAGTCTTCCTAGACCCTCCACTCTCTATTAGATCCTGAATGCCCCTGATTTGGGACCATATACCCCTATTTGAGGGTACAAGGGGGGTCCTGGTTGTGTGGCTTGATTAGAACTCATGCGGTTCCGGTGTTGTCACACTTAGATCCGCTTATCGAGCCTCAAAGGACCCCTTATAGTATGGGTAATTATTCAGGCCCCAATATTACACTTGGCACGTTCGTCCTCTGTGAACTCCACCTCGGGGCGGTCGACGGCCTGCAGGGCACTGCAACCACTGTCTTGATGCGGGGTTTAGGGTTCAAAGCTTAGGGTTTCGGGAGCCTTAAGTAAGATAGGGTTCCGTTTTGAAGAGTTCGCTTAAAGGGGCTCTATAACTCTGTCAGGGTTTTATTGTACTAGTAGGGGATACTATAGAGGATTCAGTGTCGGGGTCTTAATTCAGGGTCCTTCAGAACTAGGATAAGGCTCCCTTAAGTGGGCTCCTCTGTAAACGATTGTAGTCTATAAGGGTGCAACCTAGGGACCATAATAGCTAGAAGTGTGTTTGCTTTGAAGGTTTCCTGTAAGGGCTCTGCAAGGGTTCCTAGAAGGGTTTAGTACGGGGGCCTTAACAATTAGGACTACCCAACACCATCTTTAACACAAACAACTGCCCTAGTGATTAAGGCACCCAGGTGATCCCTTGTAGAAGCCCACATTAACTTCTATAGAACCCGAAAGTTACCCAAATCAAACTGGTAAAATGTTCCTTGTTGAGTGGTAGCCATTGTAGTAACCCCAGAAGTAGCCCGTTGAAGGTACCCTAAGCCCTATAAACCCAACAAACAAAACCCTAAACCCTTACTTAAATCCTAAACCCTTCAAGCCCTACCAACCCTACCGTAAAACAAAAGAAACTAAACCCGAAACCTTGAACCTAAAACCCTGAACCCCCCGGGTTTCCCTTTAAGGGAGCCCATATAGAACCCAAGACGCTGAAACCCTTAAGACTAAACACAGAGCCCAAAATCTGAGCCCTGAACCCGAAGCACAAAACAAACACTTAAGGAGCCCTTATAGTACCCTCTTTGAAGGAACCACCACCTCTGGCAGCTTCTTCAAGTACGACAGGAAGTCCTGGGACGCAAGCTTTGGGACAATTGGGGTTTAGGAATTAGAGTTCAGGGTTTAGGAATTTGGAGTTTAGGGTTTAGGGTTTAAGAATGCAGACTTGAGAGTTTAGGGTTTAGGAACTTTAGTTTAGGGTTTAGGGTTTAGGGTTTAGGGATTCAGGGTTTAGGGCTTGGGGTTTAGGAATGTGGGGCTTGTCGGGCTTGGGGTAGAGGCTCGAGGTCTACCCAGACCCCCGTGACAATCCAAAAAGTAGATCCCTTAATGGGGGTTCCTATAAAGTACCCTTAGTATAGGGTCCCAAATTAGGGGATCCATTTTCCAGATCCTCCCGCGGGTCTGGGTAGGGTTCAAGGCTGGGGGCATAGGTCTACGCTGATGCGGTCAAGGGTTTAGAGCTCAGGCCCCAAAGTGGTTCCTTTTAGGGGCTCATATTAAGAATCCTATAAGGTAATCCCGAAAAAGGAACTACTTTGGGGCCTATGGGTAGGGCTACGGGTTGAAGGCTTGGAGGTTTAGGATTGAAGGGCTGAGGGTCGAAAGCTTTGGAGTGTAGCGTTTGATGCTGCGAGTCTGAAGGCGTGGTTGGGGTTGGGTATTTCAAGGATCAGAGCACCTCGTAAGCAGTGTTATATGCAAAGTAGCTTTAAACAGCAATAACTATAAGTAGTACTACTTATGATCTATATATATATAATATTATACTATATTTTTTTGTATTGTATTTATATATAAAAGTAAATCTTAACCGTCTGAACACCTTGAAGCCTGAACTGGGCTGTCCTCTTTGCCGATCGGTAGGTTGCCCCCGCTGGCCTCCGCGAAGAGGGCTGCCACATCGAGGCCTTGGAGAGAAATTGTGGGTTGTTGCTTTTAAGCGCCCCTTTTTCGACCAGCAGATCCATTTGCTCATCGGAAACCCCCCTGGGAAATTGTGGGTTTAGGGGAGAGGTTTCGGGGGTTTAGAGGTTTAGGGTTTAGGGGTTTAGGGTTGTTTAGGGGTGAGGGTTTCGGGTTTAGAGGTTGAGGGTTTCGGGTTTAGGGGTTTAGGGTCTTTTTAGGGTACCCAAAAAGGGACCCTAATTTTGACAGCCACCCATATGTACGGTTCAGGGTGTGAGGTCAAACGGCAAGTTTGGGGTGTCTTGGATGCTTTGGGGTTTAGGGTTGGGATCTTCCTGTGGTTCTAAGTCGATGTCATCTAACTTGTCAGGAAACAGAAGTCCGAAACGCTTGCAGGGTAAATCCAGACTCGAAGCCTGAACCCCTCCGCTTGGAACTATCCATGAACCTTCACGTGCTTCATTAGTCGTAAAGACCTCAAAAAGCGGGTCCGAGGGACTCTTCTCCTTCATGTAGCTTCGGAGGGCGGCGGCCAAGGTCTTGAGGCTGCCAGCCACCTCGGCTCGAGCTGATTTTGAAAGACGGGCTCGGGAGTTGTAGGGGTGTGCACTGTATGTAAACTTCGATGATCTGAAGCGGAGTGGCTAGTTCATGGCTGGGATAATTAGGATTAAAAAATGTAACCTTGTATTCCTTATTGGGTTTAAGTACCCATAAAAAATGTAAAGTGCTACCCAACTATGACAAAGGTGAGTTGAAGCAGCCGGAAGCCCGACAGACTAACACCCTGAGCCGCAACACCCAAACATCGAAACCCAAAACCCTGGGTACGGCCCCCATACAGTAACAGTCTATAACAGGGCTACTGTTAAGGTCCTTATAAAATCTCTGTATTATGAATATTTCCAACTGCTACTGAGTGGGGGCAGTACCCAACCAAAACCCTAGGTCCGAACACCAACACATACCCACACTGTCGCCCAGAGTTCACGCGGTGGAGGGTCCCTGAACTCTCTGTGCAGCCCACGACTCTAGAATTCAAGAGAATAAAAAAGGACTCCTACATTATCCTACAATTTCAGGTCTTGGCGGCCCTCAAATGCTAAGTCCCTAACCCTCAAAGAAACCGTTTAAACAACCTCAGAGAAGCCGTATGGTTTCATCAGAACACCAGTGGCAGGCGAGGTTGGACTGGCTCGGGCCTTGCCCTTTTGGCTTCACTGCGCTAACCTCTGCCTAGCGTCTCCAGTGTAGTTCCTTAAGGGTTGCCCTAAGGGATCACTATAATCAGGTTTCTTTAAGGGCTACTATAAGGTTTCTATAAGGGTTACTTAAAGTATCCACTGTCGTTCCTCTTTTTTTGGCCTAACCAGCTTTCTATGGAGGATCCTTGAAGGTATTTTGGGATTGTCCCTCTTCCAGAGAAAAGGATCATGCTCGACCCCCCCGCACTACGCCCTACCCGACTCTACATAACCACAGTCTGATGCCAAGAGGCCTCCATTTCAAGGCACCTGAAAGCACCTGATTGTGCCTTCAGCCTCACTCGTCAAACCCGAATGCTTCAATCCTAAACCCTCCAAGCCGCAATTCCTAAATCCTAAACCCTTAAACCCGAAGTCCTAAACCCTGAACTCTAACTCCGAGTTTCCGCAAGTAGGGGCCCCCAAAGTTCTACCCCAAATAGTAGGATCCTCATTAGAAGGACCCAAAATATGGTACCCCGAAATCCGGAACCCATAAACTTCAACGGTCAAGTCGCCAGGAACTGGACACCGCCGTTCTCGAGCAGTGGAGCAGCAACCTCCTCTGCAGCCTTCACCTCGCTAGCTGTAACTAGCTCATGGTTGGGATAGGATTAAAGATGTACACGTTTATTCCTTATTGGATTTAAGTAACCAAAAAAATGTAAAATGTTACCCAACTATGACATAGGTAATTCAGAAGGAGCATCGGGCTTAGTCTGGAGGTGGGTATACGACTCACAGTGTGTAGAGAGTTTTTCCAATATCGATTTCATGGCCTCGAATTGGGTATAGGGTTCAGCGTATGGGGTATAGGATTCGGGTCTATAGGGTCCAGGCGAGTGTTGCCTCGCACGTTTGCAATGTTCTTCTTTTATAGCAGGTGCCGGACAATGCCAGATTTGGAGATTAGAGGGAACTCCAGAAAGTTGGAATATGGTTTCAGGGTAGGATACCTTATAATTTACCATACAGGGTTTAGGATAATCATATTCCAACTTTCTGGCGTTTACTATATGTTCCGTAGCTCTGTTCTGATAGGTCTGGTTTCGAGTGCTACAGGATGCTTCTGAGAGCTTCTAGAAACCTCGATTGGAACTTTGCGCCTGTTGTTCTCGGCTGCTGTGACGTGCAGAGATTGACGAATACCCAACACCTGCAAGCCTACAAACGGTTTCGATAGCGATGCCTCGTAGGATCCATCGCAGCTTAGCATCGCAGCGCTGTGCAATCAACTACCCCGAATAGTACACTCTGTGCAGATCTCTGAACCCTACACTCTTGAGGATATTCATTTTTGATTTAGAGGCCGCACACCCCTCTCCAGTAGGTGCCTCTGTCTCGAGGCTGTCGACCATCTCATTCACCTGCACTTTTGGCTTGCGAACACAGCGTGCTGGGTGTAGGATCGGGCTTGATAAGGGTCTTTAAGAAGTTCTATACAAGTTCTACTTTACGCTTCTAGAAGGGTTTTTATATTCCACGATTCGAGGCCTAGGGTCTTTGGATTGAATTTCGGATTGCACCTGGTTCGTGTGTTCATTCTGTTTCGCTCTGAGGCTTTGAAGTAGGGTGTGGGTGGGGTCCACGAAAGTAAGAGCCACCCTTAGGAATCTGTCTGCTGAGGAAGCATCCTGCAGTTTCTTCCTCCTGAAACCGTGACGGCTACTTACGGTAAGTTTACACCACCCTCTAGCATTGCCATTCTAAGTTGGCAAGCAAGGCTTTCGCAGCATTGGGAGCGCACCACGCCCTCTCATCAACAAACGTGCGATGTTGGACGTCAGGTAGGCACAGGTCAATTTCCCAAGTGGGCGGACTGAAACGGCAACGACGTCGATGAAAGAGCTGACCGGGTCCCCCTGACGGAGGCAGCTGGGCATTCCACTCCACGCGTTTATCAAGGAATGTGCCCCGAACGGTCCACGGCTGCAGCAACATGTTGCAGAGCAGGACCCATATGCCCAAGGGTAGCGGGCATGCCAGGATCGCGGTTATCACGCACCAACGAGAAGGGGGCCCAAGCTGGGTATATCCTCGTCATCCAACAAGACTGCTGAAAATGTCACGTGCCTGACGGTTGAACTGGCACATGGTGATTTCTTGAAATGAGGCTTTATCCTCGGAGGCTCTGAATGAGGTTTGGAGGTTTAGGCTAAAGTAAAGGGCTTCAGGGTGTAGGCTTTGGTGTTTAGGGTTTCGGAGTTCAGGATTCAGGTCTCAGGTTTTGTCTTAGGGTGTAGGGTTTCGGGTGTGGGTCAAAGATCCGTGAGCAACGATCTGTACGTATGGGGAATTCTTGAACGTGTTTCCCTACGAAGAGCAACTAAATTTAGCAGCAAGGATGGAGGTAAAGGCCAAAACAAGAACCCCCCCAACCTCAGGCTCTCGAAACCCCAATGATTCCAGTCCGCGCTATCTCACAACTCGTACAGTCAGCACCCATATTGAAAACAGGTAGCAACTCTACGTTGAGAACCCCGGCCGAACGGCTAAAATACGGGGCGTGGGATTCGGCGTTATAAGGATCGGAGTCCAAGGTTTGAAGTGCAGGGCTTTCAGGTCGGGTCTTTAGCGTTCGACCCTCTGGGCTGGAGGTTTGGGATTGAAGCCTCCTGGAGCAGTTTCTTGGCAACGAACTTGTGCTCCTGGTTGTTGACCACCTGCACTCGAAGGCGTCCACTTAGACATGTAATTAAGAAACTTCTCGTGATCTGAATCCTCCGTAGCGTAGGATCCATCTATACGCAATCAAGGGATTCCAGACGTTCGGTTCCGACATCACACAACTTACCTTTGGTTAGTAGGGAATGCTACTAATACTACCATTCTTCCATTCCCTACTAACCAAAGGTAAGACAATGCGGCCCCACTGTCAACACAAGCATCGCCATGCGGCAGCCCTCTGGTTTACCTGCACGCACTACCAAATCCATTCCGACACGCCACCACCAACATAATGTAGGGGCCTTTATAATTAGAATAGGGTTTTGGGGCCCGTTATACTATATTCATAATGAGGAGCCCCCACAATAGCATTCGTAATGATTTAAGCCCCGGTATTGAAATGTGAAGCATGCTTCGAAAAGTCTCAGATTGGACTTCTGAACCCTCACCCCCCTCCCCCAACCCCACTGCCCCGCCGCCCCAAGCCCATGCATGAACACATTAAGCCCCAAACCTTGGCTTTTAACCTGTCAAACAATAACCTCAAGCCCAAACACCACAACTACTTAGAGTCTAGCATTAACGGCGGACTGCAGGCCTCTGGGGTCTCTGGGAGCATGGCGGGAACTGTGAAAGGAATAGGTTTCGGCGGTTTGGCGGCCCTGATGCGGCGTGGTGGGAAAGAAAGAACATGAAAATCCTTCAACAGACAGGCTTTGACAGCACATCGCCATCGTACGGTCCACTCGAGACAACCTTGTCGTAAGCTACCATGGCCTACATGCTATTCCGCGGCAAACCCCTAAACCCTAAATCCTAAACTCTTCACCCCTAAACCCAAAAACACTGAACCCCAAAACCCTGCACCCTGCACCTGCAAGGCAAACCCTACAACCCTAAACGCAACCCCAGCTCCAGGATTCCCTTATCATTTATTATAGTGCCCTTATAGGAACCCTGGGGGAGTCCTGTGAAGGTTCCCTTACGGCAGGCCCCATGCAGGGTTGCGAAGCCTTCTTGGCTTTCGAGAGCGCGGTGCCCGCAGCGTTGAGCCGGGTCTGAACGCGACATTTGTTTGGGGAGAGGGGTGGGGGCGTTTAGGGTTTAGGGCTTTCTTTCTCAGGGAACCATAAATTGGGTTTCAGGTTTTATAAGTTCAAGGAACCACAAAAGGGTTTCGGATTTTTAGGGCTTTTAAGATTTAGCGTAGGGCATTTCAGAGTGTTCACAGGTAGGAGTTCTGGTTGTGGGGCTTGGGGAGGGGCTCCAGAAAGTTCCAAATACCTACCAGCAATATCTGTCAAAAAGGCATCGCAAGTCAGGGTCAAGGTAGGGTCTATTGGGCCCAGGGCTGCAGACTTTCCAGGGCGGATCACAGCACTTTCCCGAAACGCACAACCCTAACCCCCCCTTAAATGCAGAACCACTGACAAGCTAATTCCCCCAAACCGTAGTCACAACCCCTTATAGAACCCTTAATGGAACCCTTATTCCTCCTCTAAGTACTCTTATACAACCCTCCTCTGAATCATCCGACATGACTGAACCCTCAAAGAATCTTGCCCCTCCCTGGGTTCCTGTAGACTTTTGATCGTCTCGGCGTTGCCGATATTGCCCTTGTTCTCTTGTGACCTGGCGACGAGGCTTCTGGCCCCTTGCTGTGGTTTGGTGTGGTTTTGTGCTTGTTTCTTTTCGCGGGGGTTGGGGAAGGCCATGTACAAAATAACATGAATAAGCTCCATGATGCGAATTGCACCGTTTGCATGTGGGTATCAACTCCAAACAAGTGCCTGCAGGCAACCGAGTCGGTGCAGAAAGGGTGTCCCATACTAACCCTGAGCCTTACAGTGGAAGCCCAAAAGTTGGAAACCCAATAGCCTCAATCCTTAAGAGCAGCGTATAGCACTATTTAGCCTGAATCCGGTTTCCAACTTCACGGGGTTTACTGTAGGTGAAACCCCAACCTTAACCTTCCATCACTTCACCCCGAACACCGACCCAAATGTAAATCCTACACAGTCCGGAACCGTTCCGACCGAGCCTTAAAGCCCCGAAAACCATAGACCCTTATTCAAACTATAGGTTATAGGCCCTGAAACTCTCAAAGCACCCAAGTCTTAGGCTTAGGGCCTTCAGGGCTAAGACTTAAGCTGAAAAGTATTTCTAGGGGTCGGCCGCATCTTTCCTGCAAAAGGCTCAACGTCTAGATGTGTAGGTGCTCATCAAAAGTCGTGAACTTTCTCAGTGGAAGTAGCCCCGCAAGAAAAGTCTTGATATAAACAAAGTATGCACAATATCTTGTAAAAAGACTAATAGGGCCACCTTGATGTTTGGGGTTGGATTGCTTCCCTTTTCCGAATCAGAAACTCCCTCATTTGGGGACATTCCCAGCTTCTTCAACTTGAGCGGGACATCCTTCGTTTTCACACCAAACACTCTGAATCAAAAAACCCTAATCCCTCAACGCCATTCCGTTAAGCCGTTGAGTGTGAAAGCGTGCGGATGAAGCCTAGCCGACAAGAACGTCCTCGACTCATCGACGGCTGCCTCCGACGGTGTGGCGGCCACACCCAGGATCAGGATTTAGTTGGCGGGGGTAAATGGCAAGAGCAGCCTCACCGAAAATCATACAGATGAACAGCCCTACATCCTAAACCTGAATGCCAAAAGCAAGAAGAGGAAACCATGCACTCTACAGGAACGGGCCTGGGCCGTCTTGGCCTGTGTGCCGGCCTTCTCACAAATCGTGGCGGCCTCAGGCAAAGTGCAAGCATATTGGGGCCTTGCGTTCCAAATAACCCGATTTCCCAAGGAAACAAAGGGTCACAATTCTCTTTCAGAATCGCACTAAGGTTGCAAGAACCCACGATAAAGTAGACAGTGTCGGATACTGGGGAACCAGGTAGCTAAGCTAGCTAAGCTGCAGGATCTCAGGACTCGTCTAACTTAATAGCCGAGACTGCGCATGACAGGCCCGACAAGCAGTCGATAGTCCCAAGAGGCCCCCCCAAAGGTGACACCGAAACCACGATCCCTAAACCCTAAACCCCAAACCCCTAAACCCTAAACCCCAAACCGTTAATGATGGTTCAAGCCCAAAAAGTCTGGCTGACACCGAAGCCACGATGGTTCAAGCCCAACCATGATGACTCTGCGGTCGTTGATTGTACGATGGTTCAAGCCCAAACGTTCATGATGACTCTGCAGCTTTTGATTGCAAAAGTTGAAACTGCAAAATGGTCGCAATTAAAACTCGGAGCCCCCAGAAACCCTAACATGACAACCCTCCGCTGGGGACCATGCTTCATCCGCGGTCATCTCTTCAGATGCCTGCCACGGTGTTTGAAACCAGATTGAGATATGCTAACCCATGAATGAAAAGATCAGCGACCCTAACTAAATTAAACCGGAAGCTAGTTGAGCCATTGTGGATCTAGGGCACTTTATTCCGCGGGTGAAGGCTCTTGGGAGTTTTGGGGAGCCTGATGCAAGGGTCGGAACAATTGTCATTTGGGTTTAACGCTAAACTCTAAGCCCCTAGCCCTAAACAACCCCTAAACCCTGAATCCTAAACCCCCTTTCTGCTAGAATGAAAACCGGAACCCTCAGGCAAAGCAGGTAGAACCGAGTCAGCATAACAGTCTCAACTATCAACCCTAAACACCCTAAAGCCTCAAGCACCAAAGCTGCGCTCTTCGCGCCTCGTCGGAGAGAGGTGCAGCCGCCTCTGTCACCAGCTCCACCTCGGCTTTACTAGCCTTCGTTACCCATGCATTCAGGTCGACTTACAGACATATTGGCGGTCCGTTCAATAAGGATCTTGCTACTGAGACCATGTGAACATGGTTCGGTAGGAGCTATCGGTCGAAAAGTTTTTGATATTCACTGATTCGTCTCGACCGTATAGCTCTTCGCTGCATGAAGGCTTTAGAGTGCCGGGTTTCGCAGGTTCAGGCACACCCTCGCTCTTGCAGCATGTCTGCAAGACACAACAACCTAGAGTAAGTATAGTCTGCTGGTAAGTGTGGCAGTGTCGTGATATGAACCCCGCGACAGCACTAAGCAGTGCATCATCTGTCTTCGATAAGGCCTCCAGTCCTAAACTCAACGCCAAGCTTGCAGCCAAAATCCTGAACCCGTCGCGCCCTCCCAACGATCCGAAGTCTGCCGGTCGTGAACCGAAAAATCCGTAAACAACTACAGTAGAAGCCCAAAAGTTGGAAACGCAATAGCCTCAATCCAGTGATGTATAGGGAAATCCCAGCACTATTTGGCCTTAATCTGGTTTCCAACTTTATGGGTTTTACTGTAGAGCCCCAAACTGGAACTGCAAACCGACAAGCGAAACGCTCGATCCTAAAAGCCCTTGGACCTGAACGCCTGCGCTAAACCCTAGAGCCCTACCCAGAGGCCCCAAAGTAGTTCCTTTTTGGGATTACCTTCTGGGATTCTATATCTGAACCCCAAAAAAGAACTACTTTGGGGCCTTAGGGTAGAGTCTACACTCTAAACTCGCACATCCGAGGGTCAATGGTGGCTTTTCAGCACTTTGGATTTGGCCTTCCCGACCATGAGGCCTCTATCCGACGAATGGAATCATAACTAAAGGATCTATAGGGGTTCCTTAAAGGGCTCCTTTAAAGGGATCTATAGGGGGTTCTATTATAAGAGGGGTTTTAGGGTCTACTTAAAGGATCATGGGACTTAGTAACTAGGGTCGGGTAACTATACTTATAACCCCAACTAGGGTACTTCTAACCTTACTTACTAAATCCCATGATCCTCCAAGTAACTATTAATTCTACTCACTGAATGCCCACCTGCAAAGCCCCGTTTTTGGCTTCGTATGAGAAGAGCCACCTCCTTCTCCGCCGCGGCGATCTTCTCGGCTGCCTCCTGCAGCAGAGCGTTCTTCCTGGCCGCAGCAACATGTGACAGACCCTTCATAAGGATCCCTAGGTATATACCCTTAATATAGCTATTATATACCCATTATTATAGCCCCTTATATAGTAAGGATCCCTAGGTATATACCCTTAATATCAATATAGCTATTATATACCCATTTTTATAGCCCATTATAGGGTAGGGGTCCCCATTAAGGGTCCCTCCCAACATTGTTTCATGGGTACTTAGAGCTCCTCGGGTTGAGCTTTGGAGGACTAGGGTTTAGCTCCCTTTGGGTGTTGAGGGCTTTGGGGTCTCGGGTTCTCGGTGTTTGTAAGGGCAGTAGGGCTTGAGGGGCGACTTGATATTGATTTGGTGGTGAGTTGAACGTCGGTTCAGAAGAGGGGTTGATGGAGAACGAGAGTTGTCTGAGTTCTGAGTTCTGACAAGTTATCCGACGGGCTTTCTTCCCTATCTTCTGGCATTCTTTCATCCTCGCAAACTTCTGCGGTACACGGACCCGCAAACGGAATCGCGACCATGGCCCCGTGAGCGGTGCCCACTCGAAATCGAACAAGAACCGCACTGACACCATTGCCGCTGCAAACCTGACCCCCAAAGTTTTCCAAGCCCGATCATGCTTCTCGGAAAAGCTATCTAGGAAGGGAGCCAACCACCGCGGCACAACAGACCCAAGAAGAGCATCAAATGGAAGTTGAGTTGAGACACGATCGCCCCAAACGCCGATAACTTGAAACCTTCGGAGCCTGGGGAGTGTGAATGCTGGCAGTGTAGCTGTGCATGCACTGAAACCACATAAGAGTCTCATGAGACCTTGGCCCCAGTCTCCTCCTGAACCATCCTACCTGCTGAAACCTGCAAAACCTTACACCCAAAACTATAATTTGGGGAAGTTCCCCCATAACAGTACCTAGGAATACCTAGGACTCCTTGGGTTTAACATAGAAAAAACCTTACACTCTAAAGCCCTAAACTGGTTCTAGAACACTAAAACACTCAACCCTTAGCCCAATTGCCCGGTCCGGAAGGCTGAAACGCTACAAATTCTCTTGAAACTTAGAACCTACCCTAAACCCTAAACCCAAACTCTCTTGAAACTTAAAACCTACCCTAAACCCTAAACCCCTGAAACCTTAAACCCAAACTCTCTTGAAACTCAAAACCTGACGCTGTAAAACCTTGGAAGGCTCGTGGAAGGCTTGGGCACCGGCTTCCGGGTGTCAGTGTCCTTCCTGAACCTGGGTGCAGCATGAAGTTGCGGATCCTAAACCCTAAACCCTAAACCGATGTTCTGTTTTTTGTTTGAGGGCCCTTTTCCTCCTTGCTACAGTAGGAAGGATCATGGGTCTAGGGCTTTTAATTAGTGGTTTTAGGGTTTAGAAAGTCTTGGGCTTGGGGTTTCAGGGTTTTGGGCTATTAAGGGTTTTGGATTGTCAGTGTTTAGGGTTGAGTCATGGGGTGGCAGGCATTTCACGTTGCAGATCACTCGTTTGCATCGCAATCAGAAGTCATGCCGTTGGAAAGTCACCGGCTGCAGCATAGGTCGCGCACAGCTTGATGCCAGAAGGCCATCCACCAGTCGGAAACAGCTGTGGAACTGGGACGAGAACAGGGACCTTCAAACTGGTCGTGGATTCGCTTCCATGCTGCCTCAGGCAAGCTTCGGTGATCGCCGCTGCAGTCGGCTCGCACGGGTGCGAAATCTTCTGGAGACGACAAGCAGGGGGCACTGTCTGTGCGGAATCTGTCATGGATTACCTTCCATGCTGCCTCAGGCAAGGTGCGGTGATCGCAGCTGCAGTAGGCTCTGACGGGTGCGAAATCTTGTGTAGACGACATGCAGGGAGCACTGTGTGCGTGGAATCTGTCAACGATTAGCTTCCACGCTGCCTCAGGCAAGCAGCGGTGATCGCCGCTGCAGTCGGCTCGCACGGGTGCGAAATCTTCTGTAGAGGACAAGCAGGGGGCACTGTCTGTGCGGAATCTGTCATGGATTACCTTCCATGCTGCCTCAGGCAAGCTTCGGTGATCGCCGCTGCAGTAGGCTCTGACGGGAGCGACATCTCGTGTAGACGACATGCAGGGAGCACTGTCTGTGCGGAATCTGTCATGGATTACCTTCCATGCTGCCTCAGGCAAGGTGCGGTGATCGCCGCTGCAGTAGGCTCTGACGGGAGCGACATCTCGTGTAGACGACATGCAGGGAGCACTGTCTGTGCGGAATCTGTCATGGATTACCTTCCATGCTGCCTCAGGCAAGCTTCGGTGATCGCCGCTGCAGTCGGCTCTGACGGGAGCGACATCTCGTGTAGAAAACATGCAGGGAGCACTGTCTGTGTGGAATCTGTCATGGATTCCCTTCCATGCTGCCTCAGGCAAGCTTCGATAATCACCACTGCAGTAGGCTCTGACGGGAGCGACATCTCGTGTAGACGACGTGCAGTGGGCACTGTCTGTGCGGAATCTGCCATGGATTACTTTCCATGCTGCCTCAGGCAAGCTTCGGTGATCGCCGCTGCAGTAGGCTCTGACGGGAGCGACATCTCGTGTAGACGACATGCAGGGAGCACTGTCTGTGCGGAATCTGTCATGGATTACCTTCCATGCTGCCTCAGGCAAGCTTCGGTGATCGCCGCTGCAGTAGGCTCTGACGGGAGCGACATCTCGTGCAGACGACATGCAGGGAGCACTGTCTGTGCGGAATCTGTCATGGATCACCTTCCATGCTGCCTCAGGCAAGCTTCGGTGATCGCCGCTGCAGTAGGCTCTGACGGGAGCGACATCTCGTGTAGACGACATGCAGGGAGCACTGTCTGTGCGGAATCTGTCATGGATTACCTTCCATGCTGCCTCAGGCAAGCTTCGGTGATCGCCGCTGCAGTCGGCTCTGCCCGTGCTGACTTCCGCACGCCGAACTGGTGAATGCGACGATTTCTTGCAAGGGACGGCTTCCCCCTGAAATCTGTTACGGATACTCTTCCACGTGTCCTGGATCCTCTTCCATGCTGACCTGGGTTGTAGTTTTGGGGCTCTGAAAAGTATTTATGAATAGGTACCTCTATAGGAACCATAAGGGAAATTAACAAGTTTCCCAAATTGCCACCTAGTGACTTGCGCAAACTTCCTTGGTCGAGGCTGGAGGTGGGTCTGCTTGTGATGGCTTCGCCATCTTGAAACTGTGAGCAGTGGACAGGCTCTCCCCGAAACCTCTCGTGGATTCGCAGCCAAGCTGTCTCAGGCAGGCTGCGATGATCGCCGATGAATTCGGCTCTGCATGCGACGTTTTCGACATCTGGACTTTGTGACTTTGATAACAAGCGATTGGCAAGTTCTGCCTGAAACCTGTCATGGATCCGCGTCCACGCCGGCTCAGGCAAGCTGCGGTGATCCCCTGCCGAGCTGCCTGCGGCTTTGTTGCAAGGGCGCGCAGCGGCAAGTTTGGCATTGACTTTCCTTGGTCACCATGAAACAAAAGGATGTTGTTTGTTCTTCATTGGCTCTGCTGGATCTACACTACTCGGAAACCATCAATAGAAAAGGAGATCCTTTACACCGAGGCTCCATAGTAATTCCTTTTGGGTTGCATATTTAGAACTCTATAGAGTAATCCCAAAAAGGAACTACTACGGAGCCTATGGGTACACCGAGCTTCTCAAAAGCTTCTGGCTCCGGTGGCGGCTCTGAAGCTTGGGGCACCCTCTTCACGGCAGGTCGAAAGGCCCAGGGATCCTCCTTAAGCACCTGGGCTCTTGTTAATTAAGGGATTTAATTTAAGTTACCATAATAAAGAAACCACAGGGTTATGGACCCCTATCATGGCGACTTAACCTAAATCCCTTCACCTCTAAACCCGCATAGATTCCTCAATGGAACCCCACTTGCAAATTATGGTATCTCAAATACACTTCCTCAACAAGAACATAGGCACCGGTTCGGAGTTCCTCCTCAAGGTGACCCATCCGACCAGGCCGGTCAGTCCATATTCCACGTGCGCTGACTTGGTGCACACCTTGGGTTTAGGGGCTAAGGGTTTAGGGCGTTGGATGGTTTAGGGTTGAGGGATTTTGGAGTACATCTTGGGGAATACCCCGAAGGGTCGTAGATGCTGTTGTGGGTGATACTTCCTCAAATCACAACAGCAACTCCCAATATGGAAACCGACATTCTACGATTACTATAGAAACCCTACATTCTACTATCTAGGTATTTTGGACCCTTTGGGTACATGAACCAATAGAATTCCAAGTCTGGCCCCCGTATATGGACATTATCATACTGTAATCTTACATCCAGGGTAATGCTTAGGGCCTTAGGGTATGTGAGCATTGTCAAGGCAAATGTGCCATAGGCCATCTTCGGGTTCATGAAAGTTTTTGGGTGTAGAGCTTCTGTTCATGTAGGGTTTTGGTGTAAGTATAAGGTTTAGAGGGTTTAGGGCTCAATGCCATAAATCTTTGCACTCGGTATTGTAGGTCGACTAGACGGTGCACTCCCAAACCCCATTCCAGTTGGAAAGGCCTTGTATTCGTCCCCAAAGCACCTCGTGGATCGTCACGAACATGCCCTCCCGTAGGAGCCCCAGAATCTCTGACTCTTCGCATTTGGCAGCTCGTACCTTCAGGATCAAGTGAAACCCAAAAGAGCACGCGGGTCATATCTCCCATATCGTGCATATACTGTAAAAAGTCGCCCAAGTAGAGAACATAGTCCACATAGTCAAAAGACATGGAGCCCCGTAAACCCCAAACCCGTAAACCCCTAAACCCTATAAACCCCTAAACCCTAAGATTCTTACAGGCTATCTCTTCCTTTCTTCCCTAAGGCACCTCCACCTCCTGCAAGACTTTGGCTCTCCCCGGACGTAGCAACGGCTCCTGCAAATTGACTGTCCTTGGTCCCCATGAAACAAACTGATGGTTTTCATTGGCTCCGCTGGATTCACGCTATTCGGAAACCCAATTCACAACAAAAACAGGATCCCCATTACCTAGAGGCTCCATAGTAATTCCTTTTTGGATTTCATATTTAGAACTCTATAGAGTAATCCCAAAAAGGAACTACTACGGAGCCTATGGGTACACCGAGCTTCTCAAAAGCTTCTGGCTCCGGTGGCGGCTCTGAAGCTTGGGGCACCCTCTTCACGGCAGGTCGAAAGGCCCAGGGATCCTCCTTAAGCACCTGGGCTCTTGTTAATTAAGGGATTTAGTTTAAGTTACCATAATAAAGAAACCACAGGGTTATGGACCCCTATCATGGCGACTTAACCTAAAACCCTTCACCTCTAAACCCGCATAGATTCCTCAATGGAACCCCACTTGTAAATTATGGTAACTCACATACAATTCCTCAACAAGAACATAGGCACCGGTTCGGAGTTCCTCCTCAAGGTGACCCATCCGACCAGGCCGGTCAGTCCATATTCCACGTGCGCTGACTTGGTGCACACCTTGGGTTTAGGGGCTAAGGGTTTAGGGCTTTGGATGGTTTAGGGTTGAGGGTTTTGGGAGTACATCTTGGGGAGTACCCCGAAGGGTCGTAGGTACTGTTTATGGGTGATACTTCCTCGCAACAGCAACTCCTAATATGGAAACCCACATTCTACTAGTACTATAAAAACCCTACATGCTACTACCTGCCCATAGGCCCCAAAGTAGTTCATTTTTGGGGTTCGTATATAGAATCCTAGAAGGTAATCCCAAAAAGGAACTACTTTGGGGCCTATGGGTAGGTATTTTGGACCCTTTGGGTACATGAACCAGTAAAAGTCCAAGTCCAGTCCCCGTATATGGACATGGTTATAAGCATAGTTACCCTAATTATAACCCTAGTTGCTAAGTCCCATGATCCTTTAAGTACTGTAATCTTACATCCAGGGCTAGTGTTTAGGGCCTTAGGGATAGGGTATGTGAGCATTGTTAAGGCAAATGTACCATAGACCATCTTCAGGTTCATAAAAGTTTGGGGCGTAGGGCTTATGTTCATGTAGGGTTTTGGTGTAAGTATAGGGTTTAGACGGTTTAGGGCTCAATGCCAGTAAATCTTCGGGCTCGGTATTGTAGTTCGACTAGACGGTGCACTCCCAAACCCCATTCCAGTTAGAAAGGCCCTTGTGTTCGTCCCCAAAGCACCTCGTGGATCGTCACGAACATGCCCTCCCGTAGGAGCCCAATAATCTCTGACTCTTTGCATTTGGCAGCTCGTACCTTCAGGATCAAGTGAAACCCAAAAGAGCTCGCGGGTCATATCTCCCATATCGTGAAAAAAATTTAAAAGGTCTCCCATGTAGAGAACATAGTCCACACAGTCAAAGACATGGAGCCCCCTAAACCCCAAACCCGTAAACCCCTAAACCCTATAAACCCCTAAACCCTAAGTTTTTTACATGCTATTTCTTCCTTTCTTCTCTAAGGCACCTCCACCTCCTGCAAGACTTTGGCTCTCCCCGGACGTAGCAACGGCTCCTGCAAATTGACTGTCCTTGGTCCCCATGAAACAAACTGATGGTTTTCATTGGCTCCGCCGGATTCACGTTATTCGGAAACCCAATTCACAACAAAAACAGGATCCCCATTACCTAGAGGCTCCGTAGTAGTTCCTTTTGGGTTGCATATTTAGAACTCTATAGAGTAATCCCAAAAAGGAACTACTACGGAGCCTATGGGTACACCGAGCTTCTCAAACGCTTCTGGTTCCGGTGGTGGCTCTGAAGCTTTAGGCACCTTCTTCACAGGAGGTCGATGGGACCAGGGATCCTCCTTAAGCACCTGGGCTCTTGTTAATTAAGGGATTTAGTTTAAGTTACCATAATAAAGAAACCACAGGGTTATGGACCCCTATCATGGCGACTTAACCTAGATCCCTTCACCTCTAAACTCGCATAGATTCCTCAATGGAACCCCACTTGTAAATTATGGTAACTCACATACAATTCCTCAACAAGAACATAGGCACCGGTTCGGAGTTCCTCCTCAAGGTGACCCATCCGACCAGGCCGGTCAGTCCATATTCCACGTGCGCTGACTTGGTGCACACCTTGGGTTTAGGGGCAAGGGTTTAGGGCTTTGGATGGTTTAGGGTTGATGGTTTTTGGAGTACATCTTGGGGAGTACCCCGAAGGGTCGTAGGTACTGTTTATGGGTGATACTTCCTCGCAACAGCCACTCCTATTATGGAAACCCACATTCTACTATTACTATAGAAGCCCTACATTCTACTATCTAGGTATTTTGGACCCTTTGGGTACATGAACCAATAAAAGTCCAAGTCCGGTCCCCGTATATGGACATTATCATACTTGGAAGATCATGGGACTTAGCAAGTAAGGTTATAAGTACGTTTATTGGGGTTATAAGTAGAGTTACCCTAATTATAACCCTAGATACTAAGTCCCATGATCCTTTAAGTACTGTAATCTTACATCCAGGCTAGTGTTTAGAGCCTTAGGGTATGTGAGCATTGTCAAGGCAAATGTACCATAAGCCATCTTCGGGTTCATGAAAGTTTTTGGGTGTAGGGTTTATGTTCAGGTAGGGCTTAGGTTTAAGTATGCGGTTTAGAGGGTCTAGGGCTCAATGCCATAAATCTTCGGGCTCGGTATTGTAGTTCGACTAGACGCTGCACTCCCAAACCCCATTCCAGTTAGAAAGGCCCTTGTATTCGTCCCCAAAGCACCTCGTGGATCGTCACGAACATGCCCTCCCGTAGGAGCCCAAGAATCTCCGACTCTTTGCATTTGGCAGCTCGTACCTTCAGGACCAAGTGAAACCCAAAAGAGCTCGCGGGTCATATCTCCCCTATCGTGAATATACTGTAAAAAGTCGCCCAAGTAGAGAACATAGTCTACATAGCGTTAAATATATATGGGTGGTTGTCAATATTAGGGTCCCTTTGGGGCACCCTAAATATAGTATTAGGTGCCGTATTATAATAGGGACCGCAAAAAGGGATCATAATTTTGCCAGCCACCCCTTAAACAAACCCTAAGCCCTGAACCCTAACCCCTAAACCCGAAGCCCATAGTTGTTTTTTGGGAGTTTCCGAAAATGGGGGACCCTAATAATATAGGACCCCAAATGGTAGGATCCTTATTTTGAGGACCCCAAAATAAGGTGCCCCTAATTTTCGGAAACTCCTATTTCTTCCCTCAGGCACCTTCACCTCCTGCAAGACTTTGGCTCTCCCCGGACGCAGCAACGGCTCCTTCCAAGAATGGACTTAGGGCTTTGGGTTTAAGGTTTGGGGTTTAGGGCTTAGAGCTATATAAACATTATCATGTGCACGTGCCCAGAGCTATAGTAGAATGTATATGAGGGTTTTCTACAATAGGAAGTAGTAGTACTGTATGAAGAGTTGAGGAAGTATCCCTTGTAACCGTACCTAGGACCCTGATGGACAGTGCTATGCTGGGTGTCCTCCGGGGGGAGCTTCTCTTGGTTTTTCGCCTTTCCCACGCTGCGCCGGCCGAGCAACCGGGGATCGTCCGCATCGGCGCGGCAAACGGCCGCATGCAGCGTTGCGGGATCCATGGCCGCTCGGCGCGCAGCTGAAAACGAGAAGCCGCCGAGTCCGGATTCAGACTAGCTGGGCTATCAGAGGCCTTGAGGCTGCGGGAGCCGTGTGGTATAATGACATCACCACAAAGCATGCGGGACGCTGGCAAACATCCCGATAGCTGTAAAGCGCGCTGAACCCTGAACTGTGCAAACTGCCCAGTTCGGGGTGTAGGGCTGTTGGAGCCTTCGGCCAGCTGTCCTGTAGTCGAAGAGGACTGACAAGACGTTCACAAGTTCTGGCACAAGATGAGTGGAGCCGATCTGTGTTACCACGTACTACAGCTTTGCAGGTAAGCTCTCGAAACGGACTTGGTCTGGCCCCCCCAGGCATGAGGCTCTTCCATTCCAAACCAACGTAAGGCTACATCAATGTGCAGAGGGGCATTGATGCAACCAGATCCAGAATCCAGGGTGGTAGCCGAACCTACAAGAACTCGAACCCAAACTAGTCGAAACATAGCGTTTCAGGAAACCTACAACAAGACCCTGATGCCCAAGAGCCACTAAGATTTGACCTTGGCTTGGGTGCTGACGAGGCCAACTTCGTGGCCGCGGCATTTACACGGCTGGTGAGGTTGGTGAGCTCCTGGCAGCGGAAAACGCTGAGCACTTCTGCTTCGGGCCACTATAAGGTTGTCCCCGAGAAACCTCTACAACGTGGAAGCTTTCCCCAAGGGTCCAAGTAGTTCCTACTTGTGGTTTTTGGTACCTAAAAACACCCTGAAGTCCTATAACAGGGAATTCTTGGACCCTCTGGGTTGAGAATCTTTGAGATAGCAAGCCAGCTTTTGTGCTCGCGTGTCTCAAGCCAGCAAAGTATTTGGCATCGTGCCTCAATCAAGGGCTTCGTCTTCTCCTGCTGCGGCAGATGGATTAGTTCTCAAGGTAGGAAAAAAGCAAACCTACAATCATCCAGCAGATGGCGACGTCAAGGCCACAAAGCCCAAATCCTACAAGCGCTCAAGCCCTGAACGCATGTGCCGAGCTTGGAATTGCACGGGCTGCGAGCAAATTGCTGAAGAGAAGTCTTGAGGGGCTCAAGTCTGAAAAGTCTGACAGGGTGAGGGCTTAATATTGGGGCCTAAGTTATAAATACCAATATTCTGAGTATGCATAGTGCAGTGGGCCCCAAATTAAAACCCTACTCTAATTATTAACGCCCCTATATTAAGCTTGAGTCGGCTTGGGTCTGCGAAGAGCCTTGTCAGAGAAGCCCTTCATCTCCACATTCTTCGCGGCGATGAAGTTACGCGCCTGTCCCGTACTGTAAGGTTTCGAGTTCGGGATCTGAGGCTGAGGGTCAGTCTTGAGTGAGGCGGGTTCGGCATGTTGGGATCAAGACATGCAGCACGCAGCTCAGAAATGGACTTTAACAGGTAAAGTTGAAATGTTCAGACACGAGCTCCGAATGCCTGTGATACGTGCAGCCGTAAAGTCGTAATTAACCGAAACAACCTTTCAGTCTAAGCCTAAGCCCTAAACTACAGGGCCAACGGCTGAACTCTGAGTCATGAAACATCATACACACCATGTGTCTTTCCCTGATGCTCTCAAGAGTTGATAAAGAACGGTAGGTCAGGGCACTTCCGTGCACCAACTTGCTAAAAATACTCTCATACCTCTGAAGCCAGCGGAGGCATACACACATATTAGTGTTGCTATTGCCACTACGGTCACCATGCCTCAACCAACGGTTTCAATAGTAGCCACCTTAACCTACCAGCACCTACTTTTTGCAGGATCCCTATACATCCGCTATTCGGGTTTATATAATAAGAACCTACAAAAAAGGCAGGGTTCGGTAGGTGTAGGCAGAGTCAGAGCTGAGGCCTCCGAGATGGCGAATTGCAGGTCCGTTGCTGCGTTCTGCGATGCGTCGATGGTGGACGTCGCCTGCAAAACCGTCGAAGGGCTTGTCACGGTTAACGAGCGGAACCTCAACTGAGCTTGAAGTGGTTCGGGGTTTGGGTTACATCAAGTTCCCTTTACCACGGAGTGAAAGGGAAACGTGTCCAGAAACTCTGTAACCGACTAGCATTATACAACCTGTAGATTAATGCTAGTTGCAATGGGACATTTGCTGTTGCTTCGGTCGAGTCTGCAACTGGATTTCGTGTGCTTCGATTCGTATGCTTGCTGATTGGAGATGTCGGCGTCGAGCGCCCTGAATGGGGATGACTGTGCCATGAAATCTTTGAGCCCGATAGCACTATTCGCTTCCCACAAGCTTTTGGCCCGGAGTTGAAATTAAGTTTCTATCTCCAACCCTAGCTTGTAGGGGCTTGTGAAACCAGCTTGCAAAGCACACTATTCCTGTGCGTCCGCTTCAAGCTCGAGGCTTATTGACGATTCGACGATGAGGGATCTGAGCGAGCATTGTACGCAAGCCTACCTAAGCTTGTCGCGACACGTGCCTCGGTCAAGGGCAGGACCTCGATGCCCTTCAGGAATGGCAGCTCTGCATCATTCACCTGGCCGGTCATGGTCTGAAACCCAGATGACCGACTGAACGGGCTGAATGACAAATCGCTGAAGGCCCTCAAGAGCACAATTTCGGGATTACGGCCTACCCTCCACAATGCTATGATGGTGCTGCACATGTCAGCTTGCTGCGGGACGGCAGTGAATGCACTCTTTCGACGCAGAAATCAGTCCACGACCGATAGCTGCATGTGAAATGACCACAGCCCACGTGGTCTCGCAGACCACGTCAAACAATTCGTGGCAGCGAGTACACTCCACCACAGCCTTACCCCCGTGGCTCAAGCCTCGGCTGTAATGCTTTTGTACAGCTTGGCTTTCACCGCAACAGCATCAGTGCGTGTCGCGGCTTCCACAGACCTTTGAGCGATCTGTCGCGCTGTCTGGTCGACGATCTTGTCCATATGTACATCCAATTTCAACTCTCGTTTCAGCTGCAGGTATCGAGCAGCTCCGACGGCACGTTCGAGAGTTGAGAGCGTCCACTTATTTGGGTAAACCCCTTTGGCGATCATGCGACGCCCCACTCGCTCTGCTTCATCACGTCTTCCCCCCTTACCAAAAGACTGAATAGCCATCGTGTAGCCGATGACCGAGACCTCGACTCCATCATGTTCCATGCACTCAATTGCCTTCCAGAGTTTGTCCGCGTTCCCAGCCCTAAACCAAGCGTTCAGCAAGCTGGCATATGATCTCGGAGTTCGTTGCAGGCCGAGAGATGTCATCGTCTCAAACCATTTGGCGGCCTCTTCTGGCCGCTGAGCATTGGCTGCAGCCCCGATCAGAGCATTCAAGATCTGAAAGGTTGGCTGCTGCCCTGTTTGCATGAAGTCTTCGTAGAACGCCTCGGCCTTTGCTAGATCCCCGCACTCTTTGGCTGCATTAAGCAAAGTTGTACAAGCCACGGCATCGAAGACCATGCCGGCTTGACTCCTGCCTTGCTCGAACCACCACTCCGTCTGCTTCATGTCTTTAGCTTTTGCAGCGGCCTTCATGACCTCAACTGTGTCTGCAAGATATGGAAGCTACTTTGTGGGCCGGGCTTGGGAACCCCCGAAAGCACCCACCTGTATGCCGGCACAACACTGTCAGCAAGGAACTGCCAAATCATCATTCGAGATACTAGGTTGTACATGATTCGATTCGGACGAAGTCCGGCTTCTTGTGCTTTCCGGAACCACTTCTCCGCACGAGGAAGGTCTTTAGCATTGGCTGCGGCCTTGACCAAAGCACCATATGCTGCGATGTCGGGTCGAACTCTATAGAATTCCATCGCCTCGAACCACTCCTCTGCAAACTGAATGTTCCCATACTCAGCGCCAGCTAAGATCATGCTTGTAAATATGGTCACACCGGGATCAAGGTTGAAGTCAAAGAGCCGTTCAAACCAGTGCTTCGCCCGTTCGATGTTACCACGCTTTGCTGCAGCCACAACCAAGGCATTGATGGTTCTTTCACTAACCGTGAACTCCTCGCCCGAAGGCAGAAGCAGAAGGTCAAAAATACTTTCAGCTTTATGCAAGTCACCTTGCTGTGCGGCCGCATGCAGCTTTCTCAGCAAGACTGGAATGGACGTGCCGGCTTTTGGCCGAACCTGGGCTCGTCTGGCTTCCTTTTGCTTCCTGCCCTCACCTCGCACTTTCTTCTTCTTCTCCCTCACTCGACACACCACTGGTGAGCTCTGCCTTGGGTGACTTCTCGAAATGCTTGTGCTCGTTGAAATGAAGGACGCAAAGGTCCGGTCCGCACCCAGCACATGCCGTAGAGCAAGAGGCCACAGGAACAAAACGAGGACGCATGCTGCGACCCTCCCTGAAGCCATTGTGCCGGATCGCAGACCAATCTTGAGAGTGTTTGCATAAGAGGCTGCGGCAAAACGACATGCACATGCGGATGGCGGCAGCTTCAGAGCTTGCGCATGTCAAGCGACTGTGCTCGTACACGAGCTGAGAAGAATGGCCTCACTGCTCTACAAGTCATATAATTACCAGTTGCCAGAACACGGCCTTCTCCACGTAGCTGTCCACGGCATCAGTCTTCTTCTTGCCTTCTCGCACGTATGCCTGCCATGTGCAACACCAGCCAGCTAATGCCCGATGCACAAGGGAATAAAGCCCTGCCTTGGGATTATGTAGTCGTCCCCTTCCCTTCGGGGGCAAGGGGGTCCGTCGGGATCTACCCAACACTGACAAACACAAATATGCATCATTTAAAACTGAATTATATATTATACACATACATATATACATATACACACAAATATAGTTGTATATGTACATATATGCATAATTATATACAGCTTCAGAAGAAAGGAAGACATCCAAGACAAGACCTTGTCAATCAACAAACAAATTCGAGAAACAACACCGCAGAAGGCAAAGAAGCTTGCAAACCGAGCCGTCTACATGCGCATGTGCTCCTACAGCGTCTGCATGAGCAGATTACACCAGAAATTTCTGGAAAAGACTTTGCAAAGCGCCCCCCCACCCCCCCACCCCCCCCCCCCCCCCCACCCCCCACCCTCCCCCCCGCACTACTGAAGAACACAACACATCTGAAGCCGCTGCCTCACCCAGGGAGCGCTCGCGGAGTCCCTTCTTGCCGGCCTGAGGAGGGAGGCAGTTTTTCCCTTAGTGTAGGATTTTGGGTAGGGTGCTGGGTTATGCAAGGCCAAAGGGCTTGCATCAATCTTTAATACATGAGTAGAGGGGTTCTTGTTATGAGGTTGCGACAATTTGCAGGATCGCCATGGGGATTCAAGGGTCTCTCTTTTGCATGTGATGAGAATAAAGCAAAAAAAGATGAAGCCCTCTTAGCCCCGGACGAGAACCTTGTCCAGTCTCTCCTGGACCTTCTTGCTCCTCTCTGCAACCTTGGAGAAGGCGGCCTGCAAGACAGAGCTGTATTCCTGCTTGTTGGAATGCTTCGGAATGAATAATTACAGGGTTTCGGGATGCCATAATTTGGGGTATCGGGTTGTACACAACGCCTTCCTGCACAGGTGTTCAGAGGCACTCGCACACGAAAACCACTTGAGAGGTTCGTGCCTGAGCCTTGTTACGCTGGAAGGACCAAGCTCTACTTGGATCCTTATAGACTGTTTCTACAGTCATGGCCCAACGCGACGCAGACTCAGCGAAGAGCTGCAAGCATCATAATTTGTGGTAGACGGGCTTAACCGATGCATCATCACCATCAACGTCTTGCAAGTAGCTTGTCCTTGATGCGGTCACAACCATCATCATCATCGTCATCACCATCATCATCATGATCATCATGGTCATGACCCGCACTTTCAGCTCATTAAACAGGGTGTAAGCTCGTGAACACGAAGTCGACGAGAACCTGGAGGATGAGCATGATGTGGATGATGAGAGTACTTGCGATGATGATGATGGAGGTGATGGTGATGATGATGGTGATGATGATGACGACGACGGCAATAGCCATGATGGTGATGGTGATTTTGATGATGAAGATGCTAAAAATAACAATAAAAAGAATGAATGAGGATGGGGAGGAAGCGGAGGTTTTGGAGGCGGAGGAGAAGGCAGCTACTTGATAAGTAGAACCCTGTCGGGTGCAAGCCTTGATGGATGGCACCGGAGTGGACATGTTCCCTTGGATGGACCTGCCCGCAGCGCTACGCGGAAGGACAAGTGCTGGGCTTCCAGACCTCATTATATTTCCTAAGGTGAGTCCGCAAAGCTCAAGACTTGGAGGTTTTGGGTTTCCGTTGGGCTGCGGGCTTAAACACATTGAGGTAGCTTGGACTGAAAAGTATCCTGCATGAGGCAGCTCTCCTGTGACGAGGCTGCGGGGCTGAAACTCGAACCGCCTCCATGAAGCCTTAGACCCCGAATTTTCAGCCCTAAACCCTGCAACCCATCAGCCCCAACTCTGCAACCCCTCATCACTGCGAGCACTTCCGCAGTGCTCCGCACCCTGTCGTGGATTTGATGGTGTTTTGCGCGAGGACGATGGCATCCCCCAGCTCAGCGCACTCCTCCGTCTCGCGGAGCTCTTAGGGTCCGTGCTTGGTGCTTGGGGTTGTGGGGTTTCTGGGTGCACTCGGGTGCACGAATATACATGGCTTTTTGAGCCCGGTCGGATGCAAGGCTTCGGACATGGGGATATGGCCGGAGATGAGCCAATAGTCTTTGTCAGAGTCGGCCGGGTTCCCGAAATGGAAGTTACGTTGCAACTTACCATGCAGGTCCTTGAAGTGTATTTCAGATCCCTGAAATCATATCAGGAATCCAACACCGAATATGGGGAATATCCTTCAGCCCAACTGTCTTGCAAGATCTGGGCAGGATCCAGACGGACTAGAAGTACACCCTTACCCATACATTCCTGGCGAGTTCTGCGTAGCCAGGAGCCCTTCATGCAATCGTTGAGCACCTCTACGGTACACCAGTCTTGGCGTCACCTGCCCGAATCCCAAATTCTGTATTTCAGAGACTGCAAACCCTTTAACTAACGGAAGAACCACCCTGAGATCCCAAAAACCTGCACCCAAGATCTCACCACCCTAAACTCCAAACCCTCGACCTCCAAACCGAAACCCAGAAATCCAAACCCTCGAAATCCAAACCAAAACCCTGAAATCTGAACCCTCGAACCTCAGAACCGAAAGCCTCAAAACCGAAGCCCTCAAAAAGGAACCCGCCCCAAACAAGTCTCAGTCTCCTCGTCCGTGGGTTTCTCCACGGCCTCCACCGGCTCGGCTAGCTTCTCGGCTTTGGCGACCTGAGACTTGAAGGTTCGTGCTTTTTACTCCGGCCTCCCAAAACCTTACCCTGGCACCCTGGCGCTAAACCGTAAGCCTTGAACCACAACCCGACGCCCGAAAACCGAGCTACAAGTAAAGCCACCAGCAAACCTTTAGGCCCTAGCCCCCTGGACTCTCAACCCCTGATCTCAAATCGTAAAGCCTATAATCCTTGTCAGCCCCGAGCAACTACACAACGAAGTCTTGCCCACTTTGATGCCGTGAATCCGAAGCCGGTCCACCATATCACCAAAGCCACTGCGCCCTAAACCCTGAGTCTCGAACCACCAGTGACCGTAAGCCTGAATCCGGCCACCCAAACCACAAGAACCACAAACCCCTGAAAGCCAGCTTTGTCTAGGCCTTTAAATTACAAAACCCCCAATCGGTAAATCCCAAACTCTGAGACTCGAATGACCGAAAGCCACGAACCATACGCAAACCCAAAGACATAGTGCAGCACGAAAACACCAAGTCCTGCGAGCAGATTCTCACTACCCCCTTCTTTTTGTTGCAACAAGCGAAGCAAGATGACTCCGCAGACTTCACACCAATGCCAAAAACAAAACTTAAACCCTAACCCGACAAACCCTGAGACCTTAAACCTCTTATTCCTTTCAGAAGCGCACCCTTCAAGGAACCCTCAACGGTACCCTCAAAGAGTTAAAGGAAATCCTTAAGGGAACCCTTACATGTACCTTGAAGGAAACCCTTAAAGGAAGAGAACGGCCAGGGCCCGAACCTCAGCCTCCGCCTTGTCGACGTTTCCCATCTCTTCCGCCAGGGCCTGAAGATCTTCAAGCTGTATAGGGTTAGGATTTCGGGTTTAGGGAGACCTGAAGATCTTATGGCTTTTTGTAATGGCCGTAATAGGAATTTCTGGGTTTTGATTTGGGGGATTATAGATCTCAGGGCTTTATGGGCCAGTCAACAAAGCTGATCTAGGGTTTTTTGGATTCAGGGGGTTAGGTTTTGCAAAAAGCATTTTGTAAGGGGCCTGAATAGAACCTGAATAAGGCTTTACGAAGGTTAGTCTAGAAGTCTCAATGACTGGAATGTGGCTTGAAGTTTAAGTAGGTCTCATTCTGCGCCTTAAACCCGACATAAACCCCCATAGTAGACCCTGAACCCTGAAAGCGGAGCCCTAAATCCCAAACGATAGACCCTGAACCTCTCAATCCCGAACCCTAAACCCAAATGCTGGACCTTGAACCTGAGCTTTGCAGCTTCTCCTTCCTGGTGCTTAAGGCGGAAGTCGGAGAGTGGGTCGGCTTTCGTGGTCCCTGTATTCCCTTCTAGGAATCCTTCTATTCCTTTCTCCACTCTTCTTTAAGCACTCTAAAGCCCCAAATCCCAATCACTAAACCCTACACCCCTAAAGCCCTAAACTCCCAAAGCACTAAAACCCTAAACCCTAATCCCGAAACTGAGCTTCTCAGCATCCGAGGGGCCTCCTTGCCCTTCAGCAGCTTGTCGCCGAAGGTGGAGGCCTGCAGAGCAGCCCCGTTGCGTTACATTGAGAGTTTGGGGTTTAGGGCTTTATAGAGGTTTAGGTGTGAGGGTTTAGGGTTTGGGGGTTTAAGGGTTTTGCGGTTTAGGGTTTAGGGTTTAGGGGTTTCGATGGGTTTGGGATTTTAGGGGTTCAAGGGTTTGGGGGCTTAGGGTTTAAGCTTATTAATTGATACGGCCTCAGCTTTAGTAAGATGTGTTTAGGTTCACGTAAGGGGACCTACACGGCCCACAACGGTTTCTCTCAGGGTTTCGATGATAACTTGAACTATCAGCATTCTTGTAATGCTTTTCTCCAGGCCTTGTATGTGTAGTGTGGAGTTGAGGTTTTGTAGGGTTTAGGGCTTCGGACTCTCGGTTTAGGAACGAGCGTCACCCGGTGCTTTCGTTCTTTCACAGCCTTCCACCGGATGCTCCTCAAAGCCGCTTAAGACCCATAAAAGCTAACAAGACAAGCTTCAGCCTGGTTCGTGTCGCTTGGATTTGGGGTTTGAGGTTTGAAGTCTTGGATTTCCTTATGATTCCCCCAAACTCTAGAACCTAAACCTTTGACTTGCTGCTAAGTCCCCGAATCTGCAAGGTAAAGTCTGCCCTTCATCACAAATCCACCAAACCCGAGACCCTAAACCCTAAACCCCCTAAACATAGGGCGAAGTCTGCCCAAGGAGGCCTTCTTGTTCTTTGCAAGATCGTCGGCCGCGGCCTTTATTCGACCTTGATGGAGACTTTTCCGGGCTCAGGGTGCTTCAGCACACCGGGATGCTTTGGGCTTGAGGGTTTAGGCTTTAGGGCTGGGGTCATCTCGGAATGCTTTCGGGTTTAGCATCTCGGGCTTTAGGTTGTAAAGTTTTACACCTTGCACTTCGAGGTAATATAGGGCCTTAATAATTAGAATAGGGTTTTGGGGCCCATTATATTATATTTTGTAGTAAGGAACCCCAATCAAAAGACTGTACGTACTTATTTAGGCCCCTATATTAGAAAACCTACAAGTTGCCTTACCGGTACGGCTTACCACGAAAAACCTTTTGAACTTGATCTATTCAACAAGTCCGACGAAACTCTCTCCAACAGTTGAGGTCTATGAGGTTTAGAAGTGGCTGAAGGTTTAGGACTCTAGAAGCTGAATGCGCAAAACCACCAAACACCTCAAGTAAACAGACAGCAGAAAGCAATCGAAATGCACAGAACAGTGGCCCTAAACCTGAGAGAAACTCATGCCCGTCACAGATGATGCCGTTTCCGAACGCTCGACCGAGAACCCGGCGAACAGGAATAAAAAGCCCCAAGCCCGCCGTACTGCACCTGAAACTTCGAACCCAACACGCAACAACACAACGCATCAAATCCTCACGGCCTTGGCACTTGGCACGAAGTAGCAGAGACATATAACCCAAAGTAGGCAGAGCAGACAAAAATCTCGACAGAGAACATCACAATGGCAAAAACTAAGCCCGAAGTAAGCCCCATTACCCAAAACTTGAAACCCCCAACCCCTAAACCCTAAACCCTAAACTTTCAACCCCAAAGCCTGCCAAGAAAAGACGTACCCAATGGAGGCTCGGGCCCTGGAGTTTGCTCATGGCGCCTGCGGCCGCGGGGCCCTGGCACTGATTGGAGGTTTATGGATACTTATAAGTGGGGTGGGTTATAATGGTTTAGGGTTGCTTGAAGGGTTGTATAGGGTTTAGGGATTGGGGGAGTGATAAGTGGGGTTATAAGTCGGGTAACCATAATTACAACCCATGTTAGGGGACTTATAACCCCTCTTATAGCTCAAGTGGGCTCTCTTGCTCTCAGGAAGGAAGGGCTTTAAAGGGAGGTTTGCAAGTGTTTACAAGGCTTAATGAGCTTTTTGTTTGGGCTCCAAACTTCAGGTCTTTTTGAGAGTTTTGATGAGGTTAGAAATACAGGGTTTAGGGTGTAGCCTAGGGGATCAGGGTGGTTCATTTCTTTAGTTCCGGGTTCTGTAGGTTTAGTCCAAGCTCTGGAACAGGGACCCCTAAAGTTTCAGGCTCCTGAGAGGCTCCATGGCGCGTTGGGGGCTCGGTTCCCAGATATGCACCTGAATACATACCAACCAGTGTTTGCCTGCCGTTCTATTTTTCAATATCAAAATGAATGGAGTTACACAAAAATGTGCTACTGCGATACAACTCAAGGTTGGTATAATAGAAGTTGCAGAGCTTCGGTTGCTTCACGGCTGTTGTCGAAGAAGCTGCTCTGCAGGGCTTTATTTCTGATTGGAGAATGCAACATATCTGAAGGTTTGATTCGCAGAGTTCTCCCGAAACCCTCGGGCCCGAATCCCTCTCAAGTCTCCAAAGACCTACTAGTTACAGTAACCGTCCGGCAGTCCATTGCTCAAATTTAGTGCCCGGACTTGAATTTTGCGTCGTGCAATCGCTCGTTGCTTGTCAGCCAGACATCTACCAGCTATTGAACTGCAAGTGTTGCAGCATCTCGCGATACTCGAGCAGTTGCCGATTCTCCAACTGCGCCTTCAGGAAACGATGCTTGCACTGTAGCACTTGTATCTCCTTCGAGACAGTAGCAGCCTTTTCAGTCTGTCCCTTCTGCTTCCAGTAACGTACTCGCATCTGCAAGTTGGTGATTCTTACAGACCTCGCAATGCCATCTTCGTCCAATCTCTTGCCAAAATTCTGATTTCCCACACACCGCGCGAACGCCTCTCTGACATGGCCAACTGATTCATGAGTCGAACTGACGACAAGAGAGGCTTGCACAGCCTTCCGACGGAGGCCTGCATCCAGCATGCATTTCAACACCCGCTTAGAATCGGAGTCTTTGGTGATGCGCAACGTAAAAAGATTCGCATTGCATTGATAAGTCTTAGCAGTGACACCGGCCTGTTCAGCCATGAAGTTTCGGATGTGTTCGAGAACGGTAGGATACTTCTGAGAAAACTGAACGAAGACAGATCCTGTAGGAGAAAGCCAGATGCAGCCATCTGCATCCAAAAATCCTGCGCAGTATCCCCAACTGCAGCGGAACTCCGCAGCCGAATCTTGTGTTTTCAACAAGCGCAGTTTTTTGTCAGATTCTATCCGTTGCAATGGATCGTTGGGCCAATCTGCTATCAGTTCAAGCTGACTTCTCTTCGTGCTGCTGTGCGGGGAAAGATCTCGAGCAGCCAGTCTAGCCTTTGCCCCGTATACCTGCCACTGCAAGGTCGGCTTGGTCAGCCCTGTACCGCTATTTCGCTTGCTGCAGATACTACCACCGAAAGAATCTTGGAAAAGGAGCAGAACTTCTGCATGGTCGTAGGATTGAGTCATGGAGAGCATGCACGTAGAACGCGAGGCACAACCCAATGCACATCCGTCACCATCGAACACCCCAGACAAATACTGCAAATCAGCCTTGCTCAACGCGACCGAGCTCTTCGCTGGCGGATGCCAGGGCAAAGGGTAGTGCCGGCCCCGGGCCTGAAACGAATGAAGTTGGGGCCAGCGAAGCTCGGCGAGCTCTGACCGGAGAAGCTTGTTCTCCCGGCGCAGCACATCAATCGTCTCGTCAGATGTTGTACCGGCTCGCTGCTCGAAGGACTGCTCGGCTGCACATGTCGCAGTGCTTGCTGTCCTTTGCCCGGCTGTCTTGTTCAGGGGATTGAAAGCGGAGCTGTCAAGCTTGCCGCGAATCAGAACTGCGCCCAGGTGGCACAGGTTGTGCTGAATCTTCGCTTGTGAAAGCAGCCGAAGTGCTCTGCCCTGCGCCGCGAACATGGACACAAGACTTGCTGGCTGCAAAGGATTCCAATCAGCACAAGAACAGGTCGGTGCAATTCAGTGGAGGCTGTGCGAATTCTGTCCCATCCGACCCTGGATGCACTGTCTGTTCTAGTTGGTGAGCAGCAGCGGAACCAAAGCGACCCTGCAGCATGCTGATGCCATCTAGGACCCGCATCCCTTGAAGCAGGGTCTGGGCTGTTTTTGCCCAAGTTCAGGTTTGGGCGTAGCAGTTGAAGTTTGAGGGTTTTGTTGAGGTCGGAAAAGCTTCAATTGGAGGCACCTATTGCAATCGACCTTGTACTGCAGGCTCCTCCGACTTTGGCATAAGCATTGGCAAAAATCCTCAACTTGGAACACCAAGGGAAGCATATCGACTTCTTAGCTGACAGAAGCATGATCTCTGTCCCTGTCCAGGCCCTCCATGAAAAACCTTGGAACTGTATGTAGCCCGACACATCAAAGAAGTCAAATTGTGTGCTCGGCAGTACAACAGAGCTCAGGATTTCGGGCTTGCTTGCAAAAGAAGAACAGCCAGAAAGACTGGTGAAATTCACATGGACGAGCCTTGGCGTCACGCTGCTTGCCTGCAAGCTGCTTCCGCGCCTGGCCGTCAAATCGCAGGAAACCGTCCAGAGCCTTGGGCATTATATGTAACAGTCTGTGTTCTCGAAGTCGTAGTGAAAGATGGAACTACCTGATCAGCTACCCAGCTGACAACTACAGCTAGGTTATATGCACAAATGTAATCACGATCCACCTGTATATTTCATGACCACGGCAAGCGCAGATTGCGGCACTGCCTCAAAGGAGCTCAACTTCTAACCCTTGAAACCCTAAACTTGACTGTAAACTCCAGCCCTAAGCACCCACAGTAAACCCTGAAGCCTGAACTCCAAGCCTAAACCCGAAGCTTCAAACCCTGAACCCTGAACAGCTCAAACCCGCCCTCAAAACCGAAGGTGGAGCCTGGAACAACAATAGAACTTCGCATAGAACGACAGGCAGTTGCACATCCTCTAAGCCCTAAACAGAGAAACCCCCAAACCCTAAACACCAAGTCAAGAACTTAAGCTTCCACATCCCCACTCAAGCGCTTCAGGGCCGGCTAGCCAGCCCTTTAGCCAAAACAGGGACTATGATGTGGAAACCAGATCGCAGAATTCCTGGTTCAACCTCACACAAAAGAACAGGACCCCTGTTCCAAGCGGAACTAGGAAGCAAGGGTTATTAACCAGGCTGCTGCAGTATACCCTACAAAAAAAATAAACCCTCACATCGTGCATAAGTCCTTCCACCATCAAAAGGTCTGCGAGAACCGGAAATGCCTCCGCAACCGCCTCCATGGCCTCCTTCTCAACGCCACCGACCTGGCCCCGTCGCTTGGTTTTATCGTGTTTCAGCATTCTTCGCGGGATTTATAGTGACGTGTACTCTTGGTGTTTGTACAGTATTATGGGGGACTATCAAGATTCCATGAAGACTACTATTATCATGACGGATTGGGATTGGGAGTGTAGGTCTGGCACCACCAGGGTCTGTTAGAACGACTGCTGCAACAGCACCTCCTCCTCCTGCTGCTGCTACCACAACCACCGCCACTGCCACCACCACTGCCACCACGAATAGCTCCACCCTAAACCCAAACCCCTAACCCCCTAAACCCCTAAACCCTAAACCCTAAACCCCTGAACCCTAAACCCAGCCCGCGAGCTAAAACCCTGGCCTTCTCCATGGATAATGGGCCCCAAAACCCTATTCTAACTATTACGGCCCCTATATTACCCAAAACACTCAAGACGGACTTACTTTGCCCGCCTTCTCCATGGCCTCCTTGATGGCCTCTTCTGTGACCTGAGGCGCTCTGAGATCCCGGGCTCGAGGCTCGGGCCTGGGGTTCACTTACCGTTGGTTAGTAGGGAATACGGGATCTATAAGGGATCTTTTGGGAACCTTTAAAGGGATGGATCTAAGAGATCTATACTTATAACTGTACCCCATTCTTCCATTCCCTACTAACCAAAGGTAAGTTCAGAGTTCAGGGCTTGACGGCGCCGTCGAGGGCTCTCGGTGTCTTACAGCAGTTTCTGTATCTCAGATTCAGTGTTCAAGGCTTTCGAGGTTTTCAATGGATTATAGCGGAAGAAGCATGAATACTACTCACAGCTCCTACAGCAGAGCCATGCAAAACCGTGTCCTCACCAATTTACAGGACCTCAAACCAAACAAACCTGAGGCCGCGACGTGGTTCAGTTCGTCGGAGAAGACTTTGGCCACCTCCAGCGCGATTCATTACAAGGCTGGTCAAACCGTAAATCTGACAACCTAAGCCCTAAACCCAAACCGCTTTAGAACGCTTGAAAACAACCTGAAAGGCTGAATCCTTACAGAACTCTTAAAGAACCCCTACAAAATCCGTAAGGAATCCCACGCAAAACCTTCAGGAGTCTTTATTAAGCCCTTCAAGAACCCTCTCAAGAACCTCTGTAAAAAAATAATAAAAGTCCTTACTAAACCCCACGAAACCCTACAAAAAGCTGATAAAAACACCCCCCTCACATCCTATGACAACCCTATAAAAACCCAAGCAGTATAAAGCCTCAGTCCAAAACCGACCCCCGGATCGTGGGCCTCGCCGTGGGCCTCGACTTTTGCCTCAGCGTTCTTCAAGGCCTCCATGACCTCCGAGAGTAGGGTTCTTCTTTTGAGCTCCTTTTTAATGTAGGGGCTTTTGGAGTTATAGGGTTTAGGGCCAGTTTAGGGGTTATAGGTTAGGGCTTTCGGCTTTCGGGTTTAGGATTGGGGTTTTAGCACCTCTGCGGCTTGGGGCTTTTAGGGTTTAGGGCTTGGGGTTGAGGGTCTAGGGTTTTGGGGTCTAGCGGATAGCGTTTAGGGTCTAGCGTTTAAATTTTAGGGTGCCGGCGTCCAAGGAGGGGGTTCAGGGCTTCTGGGGAGCGTGGTGCCTTAAACAGGGCTTACAAGGGTGATATGTAGGGGCTCGACCAGGGTTGGGGCTGCAGGGTGAAGGGTTCGTAGGGATTCTAGGATTTGGTTAAGTTGCCACAAGGGTTACTGTCAATCTTGTGGGGTTCAGGGTGTCGAGGGGTGTAGGGGTTTGGGCGAGGAGAGACGTTGAACCACAACACCTCATTGCAAACACCATTTAGAGACCCCTCTGAAAGCCGTAGTTGTAAACTCCGACTGCAAAACTTGTATAAAACCCTGACATACCAAATCAGCAATATCAAACCCTTCCTTAAACCCCATGGACCACTTATGAGAACCGTTTACGAAACTCTAGCTCGGCTTCCCGGTAGCCCCTTACTAACAGGGGTGCCCTTGTTCCTACTCTTCGGTGTCACAAAGGAAACCTCAAAAAGGAGGCCTAGCTTACAGAACCCTTTATCTGGAACCCTGCCTCGGCCATGAGTGCATTAAGCTTCCTCTCGGCGGTCTCCTCCGAGCACAGGGGACATGTCAGGGTCTCCGGGAATTCAGGAGGCTGTGAATTGGTTCATTTGCGCTTTTAGGTTTCAGAGCGCTTTAAACTTTGGAGTCTTTAGAGAGGGTTGTGGGTTTGAGAAGTGTGGTGTTGAGATCGAAGGCATGAGAGTCCAGGTTTTGGGAGGGCCGGCAGATTACATATTTAGGCCTCCCTCTTTGTTCTGTCTTTTGCGGATAACGACAAGCATTCCCTATCATTTATAAATATTTGACCTTGTAATTACTTCCCTTGCGGAGCATCTTGTTGCTTAGATCTGTTCAGGGCGGGTCGGGTTCCGAGCTTTAGGTCCGAAAAGGCTCAAATGGTGGGATAAGATAAATGGGGTCATCCCAGAAAGAGTCCGTTTATGATGGACCCTTAAACGTCCCCCCGGAAATTTGGTCTTCGGCAATCTTGGCGCAACCCTAAAACCCCAAATCTTGTTCGAGTTCTACATGAGCCGGCAAGAGCCAAAAACTCCCCTGCTAAGCAGTAGTGCATATTTCAGACTAGTGAGCCCCGTGTACTTTGAGCTTAGACCGTGAAAATCCGTATCCTTCTTGAAGTCCGTGATCTTCTTGCCGCACGCCTCGCCGGTGGCTATGTTGTGGCTTTTGATTGTTGTGTTGGCGAAAGGGAGCTTGCGAACCAGCGACCTACGCAACTGAAAGGAAACATGCAAATGAGTTGCAAAGAAAGAACATACACCGGCAATGAACAAAACACACAACTGCATGCGTAAGCTTGTGTATCATGACGTACCATACAGATAGAACAATTGGACGATTGAAGGAGCGATAGACAGGCAGACAGATGCACAGGCACACAGGCAGACTGACAACAGACAGACAAACAGACAGAGAGAGAGAGAGATAGTAAGATAGTTAGATAAAGGGATGAGACGGAGATAAAGACAGTGCGAAAGTGAGATGGAGACAGAGAGATAGAGAGATTGACAGTTCGACAGCTGCTAGACGATTGACAGTTCGATTGTTTGTGTGGTTGTTTGTTTGTGTTTGTGTGACAGACTCTTGTATAGTGTTGACATATTCTGTACTGTACGGTGCTCGTAGTGTCTTTTTGAGGGGCCTGTAGTTTGCTCCAACAGTGGGCATGCTACCTCAACTTGCAGTGCGGTACGCCGCCGAGTTGTTTTCACGAGGGTCTTAATGATCGCCATCTCGATTGGCCGGGCCAGTATGGCGTGCTCAAGTCTCGCTAGCCGTTTCGTGACGGTGCGTCTGCAAATGCAAGAAACAGTTCGATAGCCCCAAAGACTGCTAGGTTGACATAAGGACAAATGGATAGATCGATTCGAAGAGCCCTCTGCCGACATCGTGGCAGGGCACTTTAAAGCGTGTCCTCAAGCTCCCCTGCGTGAGTTACAATCTAAATGCAGTGACAGAACTGCGGCCACTGCATCCGGTGTGAGCGCGATGCTGTCAAGGGATAATAAGCGTCTACACGGATTCTCGGGATTCTATACAAACTCTATCAGATTTGACTGTAAGTGCTCCTTGTAACATTTTGTTACTGGTGTCTTTGGGAGAGAGGGGTGCTTGGAGGATCATGGGACTCAGTAAGTAAGGTTATACGTGCCTTAATTGGGGTTAGAAGTATAGCGATCCCGATTATGTCCCTAGTTACCAAGTTCTATGATCCTTTCAATGGGCCTCTGCCCGCTGGCTCAGCTGCGTCAGCTCTGCCATAGCTTTCTCTTGCAGCTCCTCGGGGCGGGCTGTAGACATAAAGCTTACGTAGTGGGGTTTAGGGTTTAGAGGTCTTTGGGATCATGTACGGAAAAACGCGAAACCGTCCATCCCAACCCCGACAGCCCCAAAAACTCTAAACCCTAATCCAAATTCGCATCATCCGCAATCCCGAACAACATTGAACCCATGCTCAACAGAAATTGGGCTCGAGGACTTCGCGTCTGTGCAATGCAAAGCACTGACCAGGCACGCTATCAGGCTTTGCAGGGTCTTCTAGATTTTGGGATCAGGGTAAGGTCCGGGTTCCGTTGGTCGATGACCCTTCGTTTCCAAGTCTAACTGTGATCAGGACCTTCAACCCCAAACCCTGAACGACTAGTCTATTACTTGTTTAAGGGTTTCGATGCTTGAATTGGAAAATCAGGATTCGGACAGCTCGGAGTTCGCAAGTAGGATTCTACTGGTTCTGAGGAGTTGCATTCTTGACCTTGCCAGTCAGCCTCAACCGATGGTCAGGGGTACCTGAGCCAAAGTACCTAAATGTCGGGTCTTTTCGATGTTAGGGTTTAGGGATTAGGTTTTAGGGTTCTTTGCTGGACAGGGTCCTTCGGGAACTTCTTGGCGTCTGTCTGTTTCTGGCGGATGAGGCCGCGTGCCTGCCAAGTGCTTTTTGTTGGTTGAGTCTTCGGTTTTGCGTTTTGGGTTTAGGGTAGGGTTTAGGGCTTGAGGTTGTTTTTGTTATGTCCTTTGCAGAGGGTTCAGGTTTGAAGGAGGTCAGTGGTCAGATTCCGGGTTTAGGAAAGCTTAGGATTTCGAGGTAGGGTTTGGGATGGAAGGTTCATGGCTCATTCAAAGCAGGACTATAACAAGTACCTCACTTGAGTTTACAAGCCAGTGGAACTTCCATCCGCTTCCATCCTTACAGCACCCTGCTTTCTAAGTTTCCTAATCCTCTGGGCAGCGCTTGCGGACCGTAACTGAACCTTAAACCTTATGCCTCCCTCAAACTTAAGCCCCAAACTCTAAACCCTAAATACCCTAAACCAAAAATCTTGAACCCTACATTGAAAAGTCCAAATCCTAAGGACTACTCGGTACTGAAGCGAAATCCCAAGACCGACTCGAGGTTCCGGAACCTGTATATGAGCCCTAAGAGCTAAAATTTTGGGGTTGCAAGCGGTAGATTACACTGGATTTAGAAACTAAGCCTCCGCAGCCATGTTGTCAGGTAAGGGCTTAGGACCTTTTCGGCCACTCCGTCTTCAAGAACGAAAAAGCAACCCAACCCCAACCCGAAAATCTCTATCAACACTGCGAGGATCCAGGCTGAAGGCTTCAACGTCACGGGATGTCGGGATGAGAGATTCTTACGTGCTTCAGGGTCTGAGAGTAGGGTTTGGTCTGGGCTTTATAGGGTTTATAGGGTTTAGAGCCCAGGGCTTAAGGTTTAAGCTTCAGGTTTTAGGGTCCAAGGTCTGGAGCCGACAGTCGAAGGACCGGCCTGGTTCAACGCCAGCTCTGCTTTGGCCTCAGCCGCATGTGTTCAGGCCGTGGGACCCGGTTTAGGGTCATGGGACTTAGTAAGTAAGGTTATAAGTACCTTACCTTAATTGGGGTTATAAGTATAGCTACCCTAATTATAACCCTAGTTACTAAGTCCCATGATCCTTTAAGTAGGGTCGTTTTGGGAACTGTGGGCCTTTGCTGCGCCGAGCTTTTTGCCGACCCTGCTCAGGCACCAATTGCCGAGTACGCTCTCGTGTTAGGGTTTAAGGGTTTAGGGTTTAGGATTTCTATGCGGCTTCTGTACGGGTTTTACACGATTTGGTCGGGTTTCAGTTTCATGCAGGTGATTCCATGCCCAACCCTCTGCAAACCTTACCATAAAAACACCGAAGACCCTGAAGTCGAACACTCAAACACCAAAATCGTAAATCTCTAAATTCAAAAGACTAAAACCACTTATACCAAAACTTCTAAACTCTGAGGCCCCTACACTCAAAGCCCCCAAATGCCCAACAGCCCTAGAGCCATACTTGGCCCGACACCCCGACCTTGCCCACAAGTCAACCTAGCCCTAAAAGCCTGCTGCGCTTTCAAAGATCCAACCCACGAAAACGGTTTAGGGTTTAGGGTTCAAGACCCTGGCAAGTCTAAAGTCCTAATGAGGACCTGCACCCCCACTAGACTACGTTTTGTAGGGCCCGGATATGTTAAGCAACTCATAGGGGCCCTACCACAAAATGGATCATGGTAGGATATGAAACCAATAACACCCTGCAAAACCCTTCTCTGAGACCCTACACCCTCGTCATCCCTAATCCCGATGCCTTAAACCTTAAACCCTAAAGGTGCCCTAGAGACTACAAACTGTAACCAACAACCCCAAACCCCAAATCTACTAAAACCCTAAACCTTAAACCCCAACACCCTGAACCCTAAAAGCTCTTAGTAAAGAGCCCCCCTGAGGAGCCGGCGGACGCACCCTCGCAATCGCTGATGGCTTTCGTCGACTCCTCCGCAGGTAAAACCTGCAAAGCTTTTGACCATGAGGGGTCGTCAAGGGTTCCCTCAAGAGGTCTTTGAGGTTTATGTTAAGAGAACCCTTACAGAAACCCTCTAAAGGAATAGGTTGAGGGCTTCAGGCTTAGAGATTCGGGTTGGCGTATCTGAAGGCTCAGAGCTTGAAGGTTCTGAGTTCTTACTTACTACTTAGGCTGTCTTGCTGATGATCTATCATGTGAAAGGTTGGGTTTTGAGTCAATCGATGTATTGGAAACCTGTACGTGTTGTACTCGAGTTGGAGACGCTGGTGTCCGCTTGCTGAAACAACAAAGAAGACGGCAGAGCCCCAACGAGAGAATCATGTGGGGCCTTGTAATTGGAATATGGTTTTGGGGTTATAATATCGCACAAAAATCCTAAATAGTTAACAAGGGACCCTAAGGAGTAGAATTGTAATTGTTCGCTTCTATATTGCAGAACATACGCCTTGTCCTCAATACCCGGAAAGGCCAAACCCGAGCCCCCATTAACTCCCCAAGCCCTGCTACAGCTTCGCTGGGAAGCCCCGGTCGGCTTATCTGTTCGCGTTAAACAGCTAGATAGCTGCATACTGTGTTTTCTTAATCACATGCATACGAATGCATTGTTCATTTGGTTCGTTTATACGTTGACTTGCGTATTAGCCCGTTCATGTACATGAGGCTTCATTCGATTCGTTTATTCGCTGATTTGCATATTAGCTCATGTACATGACCCTAAGCCCTAAACTTCAAAACCCTAAACCCTAAACTTCAAAATCCAAAACCCTAAACCCTAAGCTCCTTTTCCGAACGCGGGTTGGCCGTCAAAACTCACAGGTTCCGACCGGCTTCGAGGCCAGGAGGGAGCGCGTCGCGTGGCCCGTGGCCAGAGCCACGGCCTTGTCGATGCTGAGCACGCCCTGCCTCGGGTTTAGGGTTAAGGGTTAATCCTACTTGGAGGTTCATGGGTAGTCATAAGTGGGGTTATCAGTAGGGTAACCATGATTATAACCCATATTAGGGGACTTATAACCCCACTTATAACTACCCATGAACCTCCAAGTAAACCCCCATCCCTAAATCCCTAGGCTCCCTATAGACCCGAAACCCGAACACATATGGGGGGAGCATGGAAAACTTGTGGTGTTGAGGGTGGTACGAGCCCCATCCCCATGTAGAGTTTCAATGGTTGGGCCGGGTCAGAGCTGGAAGATATGTGTTTAGGAATTACGGCTCGTGCCAGGCCTGTTCGAACACGGTATGTTTCGGTCTTGCCTAAGGGAAAGCGGAGGAGGGAATAGTGGAACTACTTACTACAAACTACTAGAAGAAATTAGACAGCTGACCGTAATTTGACCCAGATTCGAGCCCTGTTCAAACTGCTCCAGCTGATCCCCGAGCTTTTCGTGCAGCAGCTCCAGGACGCTGTAGTTGGCTTCCGCGACGATGCAATGAATACCCTTCTTCTTCCACTCCGTCAGGATGGATTGCAACATGGCGATGGCTGAGTAATCGATCACCGGCACAGCACCCATCCCCAGGATCACATAGCGAATCGAACCTGTGCGGCCCTCCGCAAGCCGCATGCGCTCCACCTCGTCACGAAACCACTCAGCGCTGGCAAAAACCAGGGGGCCACGAAACTCGAAGACCAAAACGCCGGGCACGGTTCTAGCTTCTGGCCACCTTTTCACGTCGTGCCACTGGCCTTCCAAATGTGGCACGGCCCCCAGGGTAACAGCATGGGGAGTGCTAGCATCTGCCACCACTTGTGCAACGGCCACCAAAACCTGGGTTTGCGTTACGGAACTTGATAATACGGATCTCTGATACATAACATCGTCTCCTTGTTATGGTAACTCGTCCCCAAAACCCTAGACATCCGTAAACCCCCCAAACCCCTAGTGTGGCAACTTCAACTGAATTCCTTAACAAGAGCCTAGAAACGGAGAGGATGATCCCATACAAGGCCCCGGCGAGGATGGTACAGACAAAGCCCACCAGCCACACGATGAGGTCCTTGCGAAGGATTTCTCAAATCCGAACCCCCCTACCCTCAACCCTGAACCTCAAACCCTTGAAACCTAACCCCTGAATCCAACAAAACCTTAGGATCTGTATTAAACAATAAGGGAAACAAAACCCTATCCCAGATCGACAGCTACTAAGCCCTTAACCGTAACCCAGAGCCGTTATAGATCCCTTTAAAAGGAACCCTTATAGACCCCTTTAAAAAAGCCCTTATAGATCCCTTTAACAGAAACGCTTATAGATCCTCCCTTTAAATCAAAGGGGTCCTTGCGAAAGATTCGAAAGGATCCTTCCGAGGACCGCCAAAGGTCCAGGGGCATTGCGAAGTCCATCAGCCCCTCCGCAGAAACCATGACCTGGGGTGAAGAGTTGGGGGGTTTGGGGCTTGGGGCTTTGGTAGAAACCATGACCTGGGGATAAGAGATTAGTTAAAGGGTCATGGGACTTAGAAACTAGGGTTATAGTTAGGGTAACTATACTTATCCCAATTGAGGTACTTAGAACCTTGCTTACTAAGTCCCATAATCCTCCAAGCTGGGGATAGCAGTTTAGGGCTCCGCGGTTTTAGGGTTTTGGGCTTTGGGGTTTTGAGCTTTAGGATCTAAGGTGTAGAAGAAACCATGACCTGGGGTGAAGAGTTTAGGGGTTTGGGGATTTAGGGTTTGGGGGTTGGGATGGTTGAGTGCTTGAGGGTTGTAGTGTGCAAGCGTTTAGGGCTTTCGGGTTTGACGATTTAAGGCTTTAGGGTTCGGGGTCTCCGGTGCAGGGGTGCCACTGTTAGGAAGGACGGGACAAAAAGAGCCTGCACCCTTCGCGAGCATTTGCGGCATCCCCTACAACAAAAAGTCAAAAGGATCCTTCAGATTGGCCGAGTCACGATGGCTGCCAGAGAGGCCTTCAGGGCTCAGAAACAGAGACAGTCCGAAACCTAAACCCCAAAAAAGAACAGTCTTGCGAAGTTCTTTCAGCCTTGTGTGCTAATAGGGGCTTTCATAGTTTTGACAAAGCTTTGAGGGTGTACTATACTATACTTAAGTTAAGGAACCCTAAGGAATAACAATTCGTAAGTACTTGGGCCTCTATACTGGGACCCGGGGTCGCAAGCCAAAGGACCTTCTATACTGAACTCACACGCCTAGCAACAAAAAAGTATGTGTGTATATATATATATATATATATATGTATATGTATATGTATATGTATATATATATATATAGATGTGTGTATATATATATATATATATAATTTCAGCTGTTTCTTAGGGCTTACAATAACCAAATAAGATCAAGAATTGTATTTCTAAGTGCCCCGGAGCCTTCGGCAGATCTTCGATCAGCGGGGCCAGGAAGATCAGGCCGGCGGCCACCACAAGGGCGTTGGCGATCCCGCAGACCTGGCTCTCCAGGGTTGTAAGGGTTTAGAGTTTAGGGTTTAGAGTTTGGGGTTTAGAGTCTAGAGTTTAGGGTTTAGAGTCCAGGGTTTAGAGTTTAGGGCTTAGAGTTTAGGGCTTAGAGTTTAGGGTTTAGCGTTTAGAGTTTAGGGTTGCGGGTTTAGGGTTTCGGGTGCAGGGCTTCGGGGTTTAGGAGTCTAGGGCTTCCAGTTCAGGGCCGGCTTTGCGGCTTAAATCTGTAAATCTGAGCCTCTAAAGCCCCCGAGAGCCCCACCTGCGTCTGGACCCCCAGCTGCACAGCCAGGCCGGTTCTGCTCAACGAGCCGCCTACAGTAGCTCATGGCTTTTGAAAACCTACAGTTTTCGGGGGGTTTTGGGGTTTAGGGTTTATGCTTTTGGGTTTAGGGGTTTAGGGGTTTGGAAATTGTTATTCCTTCTTGAGTTTAAGTGCCCAAGAAGTTCGAAAATGTTACCCAACTATGACAAAGACACTGGGAGGAAAGGCGCCGAAGAAGGAGCCGACCACCCCCGAGGCGCCCAAGGCGAAGAGCTCCTTCTTCGGGAGAGTTTTGGGTGTGTTTAGGGTTTGGGATTCGGGGTTTCCGGGTTTAGGGTGTTAGTTCTTGGGGTTTAGTTAGGATTCTGGGTTTCGTGGTTGACGAGTTTTGAGGTCTTTGATGCGGGCTCTTGGGAGGTGTTGAGTTGAGGGTTTGGAGCGTTGCGGGTTAGGGGTGGGGGTTCGGGGCGGTTCTTGCTGAATGGGCCCTTTCAGGTTACGACGGTATGAAAGATGAGGGAATGCGCTCTAGAATCTCGTCCCTCTGGCTTAGGGTTTAGTCTACAAAACCGTACGTGATGATCTCACGATGATAGGGTCCGGGGCATGGGGTAGTTCAGATAGCCCGGAACCCTTAGACTCTGAAACCTAAATTCCCGAAGAAAAAGGTGTAGAAAACAACGCCCGTCCTGTCTGGCATCTAAAGCCTCAGTATGTGGCGGTCGCACAGCCCCCCAAATTAAGATCACGAGTATGGGAGTCATGGTTTGGTTGGGGTTACCAAATCAAGGTGTAGGGTCAAGGGCTTGCTTTAGGGTACAGGGTTTGCTTTGGGGTTTAGGGTTCGAGGGTTGCTTTGGGGTTCAGGATTGACTTTGGGATTTCGGGTTTAGGGCTTGGTGTAGGATGTATGTAGGGTGTACGGTTTAGGGTTGGCTTTAGGCTTCAAGGTTTGTAGGCCCAGTCGGCTTAATCAACACGCCAGAGTGATTAGACGTGAGCTTTCCGGTGCATCTGAATTTCCGAAGTAGGCCCCAGACTCCTGGACTGTCTCCGCGAAACACAATAGACCCTGAAAGCCCAAACCACTGACCGACAACAAGGAAGCTCTAACATGTACAAGAAGCGTAGTCACAGGCGATTGCTTGTCTCTTGAAGCTCGAATAAGATGTCAGAAATGCCGAGAAGGCCAGCACCAGTCCGCTGAAAAGAAAACTGTGGAGGACATCACTGGGTCCTTCCAACAGCTTTCGAGTAGCATCGAAATTCCAAGGCAACTGACAAGGGGGCAAGCCTCGTGGAATGTGGCCTACAATAGGCACTGCAGCTACAGCGCCCTTCTGCGTGACTTTGACGAACACGATTCCGGCCACCACCACAATGATCTCTTTAACTTGGACCAGGTACCCCACCATTGCCCAAAAATTCGACAGCTTGGATTTCTTCTGAGCGACTTTCTTAAGCCGCTTCGAGCAAACCAGGAATAGAATCAAAGTCGAGCAAAGGCCCACGTTGGCCCAATTCGCCTGGTCCAACATGTGCAAGCATGCCCAAACCTTCCCGAAGGGGCTGGATTCGTGAGGAAATTCAGTATAGCCAAAGAAGTTTCGTAGCTGCGACACGATAATCAAAACGGCACCACCAGTGATGAATCCACTGAGTGTCGGCTGTGACAAGAATCGAACAGCTGAGGCCAAGTCAAACATCCCCATCAAGATCTGGCTGATACCTGACAGTTTCATAGGGCTTAGGGTTTAGGGCTTAGGGCAAACATCCCTTCTGGCTGATACCTGGGAGTTTCCGCAAAGAGGGGACCCCAATATAGTACCTACCCGAAATAGTAGGATCCTTCTTATAAGGACCCCGAAATAAGGTACCCCCGGTTTTCGGAAACTTCCACCTGCGACCAAGGCTAGGAGGGAGGCAAGCTCGGTGTGGTGCTCCTCTGGGAAAGGCTGCAGCACGTTGGCGATGATCATGGCTACCATGGCTCCTGTTTTGGGGCCCATTATTCTTTCATAAGGAACCCCCCACAATAGTATAGGTAATCATGTAGGCCCCTATATATTGCCATGGCTCCAGAAGAAACGGAACCATGCTTGGACGTTCCCAGGAGAGCGTACACCACAGGTGGCAACAACGCCGTGTGGGGCCCCTGTATCCTGAGCTGCTTGGAGGGTCGGGGGACTTAGTAAGTAGGTAGTAAGTAGACTTATAAGTACCCTAAAAGGGAGTTGTAAGTCCCTAAAATAACCAGTTACTAAGTCGCCCGACCCTCAAGTGCTGTTGGAGATCCTTCCCACATTCAACTTTCCCATCTCTTAAATACTTACTATAGACAGTCTACCTAGTTCCGCCTTTGTATTGCTATTATATCTCTACCATGACCAAGCCTTCTGCCTAAAAAAGCCTACTCTTCAGAAACGACAGATTGTTACGGATTGCGTTCAGTCTTTTATGATGTCCTTGAAAGGGTTCCTTTCACAGAGGCTCCTCTTAAAGGGTTTCTATCATAGGGTTCCACTACAGGGTTCCGTTGAACGGGTTCCTTTACTTGGAGGGTCATGGGACTTAGTAAGTATGGTTATAAGTACCTTAATTGGGCGTTATAAGTATAGTTAACCTAATTATAACCCTAGTTACTAAGTCCCATGATCCTTTAAGTAATCCATTAAAGGGTTCCTTTTCAGTTTTTTGCGGGCCCAGAGTCGGGTTTGTCGTTGCGATCGTGGCGTGCGCCAGCGTCTGTGCGAGGCACATCGTTCCCAGGGTGAGGCCACCCGTCACATCCGGCAGAAAGAAGCCTGGGAATCGGTTTAGGGTTTGGGTTCAGGTTTAGGGCTTGTTCTGGGTGTAGGTAGGTTAGAGACTTTGAATTTTTCGGAGCTTTGCAATACGATTTGGGTGGGGTTTGCTACTTTCCGCGAGTAGAGGGCCGCCGAGAAGCTTTTGTCGTAGGACGGCAGCCAAGCCAATATCGGCAAACGAGCAAGAAGCACCTCCTTCCACGTCTTTCCACCTCCGCCCTCATCCGCCGAGAGGGCTTTGTACCCAGCTCCCTTGGGCGAAACAGTCATGATTTAATACATGCTTGAGCCTGACTCATGAAGCCGGATGTTGAAGTGACAAGGGAGAAGCAAAGTATAAACTTCTATCTCAAAATGGGTCCTTTTGAAGAAACAAATCCAAAAAAACATTCTCAAGTATGGTACTCCAGAACCCAGGAAGTCGCCTCTTCTTGACAACCCATGACCAAGGCGAACAAGAGCTAGACCTGAATCTATCACGCCAGGTCCTTATCCTGGGACCACTCTTCTTCGAGGTTACCACGCAGCCTAAACCCCAAACCCTACAACCTAAACCAGACACTCCAAACCCCAAACAAACCGGCACCCTAAACCCTAAACTCCTCTGCTTCGAGGTTACCACAGTGCCTTATGGACGGGGTTTCGGTTCGGCTTTTGGCTCCAAGCCTTGTCCCCCAAACTTAGAGCCTCACAGCAATGCCCAAAACTCTTCGCATGAAGGCTCAGGGTATTGGGTTTAGGGTTTAGGGGTGACTAAAAGCAACTTTCCGTAGCTGATAACACTGGTATCTTCGATACATATACGGATGCATATGTCAGTAGAACAATGAAGAACCCCAACGGCCTCGATACCTTTGAGGAAGGGCATCTCTGCATCCTGGCATGCCACGAGGCCCTCCTCTGCCAGGGTCACCTGATTTCTACAGACTAAGGGGGCGTTGCCGAAAATTAAGGGGGTTACCTCATTTTGAGGCCCTTATAATAAAGATCCTACTACTTAGGGTATGAAATGGGCCCCCCAATAGGATGCTTGCGAAAGGGGCCTAAAAACGGCGACTGTGTTTTGGGTGCGGTTTTCAGTGTTTGATATGTCAACATGTCTCGTGGGCTGTATGGTGCATGGCCTGGAAAGCAAGGACGGCAGAGCTTGATGAATGAAAGGTTTGGTGCTCCAGGCGGTAGGAATCAGGGCGTTGGGCTTAAGGTGTTCGGATGTTGGGGTTGTGAATTGGGGCCTAGAGCCCAGAAGTTGTCCAGGCGTGGTATTGAAGCAAAAAGAGGCTGTGCACATGCATGTGTGTGTGTATATATATATATATCTTGTGTTGTTATTCTAAACCTTCAGAACTAAACCCTATTATGCCCTGCGTTGGTTCTGGGATACCTGTCAACGCGAACTAAACGGTCGCCCCCCCCCCCCCCCCCCCGCATCTCGTGAAAGAGGCCGACCTTCGAACAAACCTATCTTATGACTCGGGGCCCCCTAAAACTTAAACCTTAAACTCTCTAGACCCAAGAGTAACCTAGGAATAAAAAGGGTGCCCTTTTTGCATTAAAGGGTGTTATAAGGGAACCTAAACCCTACAAAAAGGGAAAAAGGGCCTACTCCAGGTCCTAGCTCTAAACCCTAAACCGGGTGCATCTCTTCGGTTTGATTACGTCGGGTTTCGTGTCTAGGGCTTGCATAGGGCCACTTGAAGACTTCCAGTCTATCCCGAACCCAACACACCTTAGTACAGGAGCCAGGGTTGATGGTTTGGAGAAGCGGGTCCTGCTGTAAGGGTGTTGATTTGTAACAGTTTAGTGAGCTCTTACACTAGACTCAAACGGATCTCTGGCGGCCACCTTCTCTGCAATCGTCGCTGCCATCTGAGCTGCAGAAATGCCTGAGGAGCGCTGAACTGCATGCTTAAAGCCCTGGAAATCAAACCGCAGCGAGCTTTAGCGATTCCACCCTAAGCCCTACACCTGAACCCTGAAAGCTAGTCAATCCTACACTTTGTGCGCCCTGCAAATCCTAAACTGAAGATCTCCCTTTTGGCTTCTGCTGAGACGGACAACTCGTAACTTCCGACACCCTGAGCCAGGCACCTAAAGCCCTGACTTCAGCCCTGAATGCTACCTCTAGTCGCCGACCCTACAGCGCGGTAGGTTCCAACCCCATATCCCCAACATAGGTCACGGGCAACCCCCGACATGAGCGAGGAGACGAAGGTGACTCTAACAAAAAAGATCTAGGCTGCTGGTATCAGCACAATAACAACAACAAGCAAGATACGGTCACAAGTATTCTTCAGGAGCCGCGCATCGCTCTCCCAAATCTGTAATAACCGTACTTACAATGCGACGAAATACGAACAATGATAATGCTACTACTCCCAGCAACAACGACAACAATGACAGCAACAGCAACAGCGACGGCAACAACAACAGCAGCAACAACAAATAATACGACTGTAGGCACAAAAGATGCACAAAAGCAACTGTAGTAATCATCGTGGCAAGAGCAATGCTAATGCTACCAGTATTTACAATAATCCATGATAATGATGATGGTAGTCGCAACAGCAAACCCGTTATAGACACGGTAAATTCAGGTAACCAGGAAGAACAAGTACACACTTGTACTTCGTAATGGTTGCTTTAAGGAACAGGTCTCACAAAAAGCGTTCAAGCATCCAGTAGTACCCTTATAGCACCGTTGTAAGGACGTGTAAGGGGTCATGAGGTCATCGTTGATGGGGTCCTGTCTCCAATCATGGCAACTTCGCGCGTTAAAGGCTTGGGGTTTAGCAACCGATGTGTCTGCCAGGACCTTTGGCCCAAAACATTGCAACCCTCCTTTGGGGAAAGGCGTGGCCGGACAGTGTGCAGTTGTTTCCGCTTCTCGCAATCCGTATGTGGCTTTCACGCTTTGCAAGTATGAACTTTGTTATCTTTGTTAAACCGGAAAACTGAATCAATGTATATACCTGAAACCTTGTGTACATGAATTCTAGATCTGATGTTTCAAAACTCTCCAAAGCTCACCGAAAAGCGCACCCGGAAGTCCGAACACCCTAAGCCCCAAACCCCTGAACCCCTAAACCCGAAACCCCAAAACCCCCAAAACCCCGAAACCCGTAAGCCGCAACCCCTAGCCGCGAAAACCCCGAACCCCTAGCCTATAAAACCCCAACACCGAAAACCCTCAACCCTAAACCCCGATAACCCTCAGTGAGCCTTGTCTCTGATTGCGCATTGTAGCGGTGACGGTCTGGCACCAGAGATTTTGGTATGTGGTTTGGGCCTTTTAAAGGGTTCTATAAGGGTTACTAAAAATGCTACCATAGGGGTTACGGCATGTGCCTAAGTGATTAGAATAGGCACTTTAAGTGTATGATTCTCGAGTTGCAGAAGAGCTGCAACGGGATGCGATTGCTAGTGATTCCGACACCTATGTAACAGTGGGTTGAAGGTGCAGGTATCCTACGACAAGAGGTTGCGGTAGGTTATGGCAGATACCTACGGAAACTGACATCTTGCCCTGTACCCTAATGCGCTGTGCTGAGTTGCATTACCTACCAGACGTCAATCCGCATCGAGTCGTAACCAACCCTAAAGTGCCTACTTTCTTGTAGGGCAACTTACTATGACCTGCGTGTGAAAGTCCTAGAAAAGGCCGGTCTTTTGTCGTTCAGGCAGTGCTTGCAAATTTTGGTTTAGAGCTTGGGTTTGAATTTGGGGATCTGCGTAATAGGGTGGCTTCATTGCTAATACCTCCCATATACCGGACATATACACTCTTCACCTATGTATGTATATACGGTCAACAAGACCCTAGTAGCCTCTAGCCGCTATCTGAATGTGTGGATGCACAAGGGATCCCCTGTGAAAGTCAATGGCAGGCTTTCGCCGGCATCACTGCGAAAAGCTGGCTGAAATTCCATTTCCGTCTCCGTGGTACCCGACACTATGGGTGCAGCCTCTGAGCCCGAAACAAGCCCGAATTGCTCCCTCGTTTACACCACGAAAGCCGCGAACACTGCCGGATCCCTACCCGAATGAAAATGGCGGTGCAGGGCTGAAGGCTTCGACCCTAAACTCTAAACCCTACACCTTGCCACCTAAACCCTAAACTCTAGACCCAAAACCGTAAACACTAAACCCGTAACCCTTAAACCTCAAACCCTATACACCCTGTAAACCCTTAAGGCTCAGAGCCTTGCGCTTGGACGTTGGTGCTGCGGTTTACGGTTGGCCCAGCCTCGCACTTCTTCTTCATCTCAAGGCCACGATCCTGGAGCTAAGCACACGTGGGAGTTTCCGATAACAGGGACCCTAATGATTATATTACCCTAAAGAGTAGGATCAGTATTATAAGGACCCCAAAATAAGGTACCCCTAATTTTCGGAAACTCCCAGGTGGCTTTGCAAGAACCTCTACGTCGCCTGCTTAGGCCTCGTTGAGCGCGCAGAATCCCCAAAGCATGGCTGTTGAGGGCATAGAGTGCACGTCACGCAGAAATGCTAGTCCTATTAGCTTTGAGCCGCGAAGTGGAGTCTACCCACTGGCCTGTGCTCAGCAACGAAATATTCACGCGCGAAACGCAACTGGTCGGCCTAAGCACGCTCGAAGGGCAGGAGGGCTTTTTGTTGGGAACAGAGACTACAGAAAAAGGCAACCTGGAAAGCAAGTTCAATGGAACATAAATTTACGAGAAGACTCCCGCATAATGAAAATGGCACTGACCATATAACTCTTGATCACGACAGCCTTTTCTTAGTCTAACGTGACCAATTCCTGTAATTTGGCTTTAGAAAGTCGATCGTGAACCCGAAGAAGCGTACGTGGCGTACGAGTAGACATAAGGCAACAGGTGGGTCCCCCGAGGGTCTATACCTGGGCTTGTTCTGCCGGTCTTCCATGAAGGCCTCTGTGTCCGAATGCCACAACTCCCCTTTCTGGATTTCGGCCCGCAGCCTTCATTGGCAGCTTTTTCGCCCATCGGTCTCGCTTGTTGCTGATGCGCGGGCCCAGCCAGACTGCCTGGCCCATGGGGCTCGCCGGTTGCCGATACTGGGGCCAAGCCACATCATTTGGCTGACCGAAGTCGACCAAGTCCGTGTGAGATCTCGCTCGCATCGACTCGCCCGAGCAGGCTATGTGACCACGTTGTGTCGGGCACGCTGCTTCGCAAAACGTATCTCGTCCCTGTTAGATAGAGCCTAAACCACTCGTGATCGAATGATGTGCCTCGGCAGCTCTTGGGACCCTAAAGCCTACCTCA